ACACTGTTGCCATTATTTTGGTGGTCCTGAAGCACAAAAACAAGAATGGCCTGCAAGGCGGTTTTTGTTGACAGGGCAGCATCCAGGAGTTGTTGATCACAGGTTGCCAATACGACAAGGGTGTGCCACGTCGCCAACGTCACTTCGTCTCTTCGCACCTTTTCAAGTTTGTTGGCCCATTTCCAGGAAGCATATGCTGTCCCACTTCCAAGCAAAGAAGAACTTGGTTCTGAATGCAGTACAAATTTTACTGGAGCTGCGGGGAACAAGCGCGTTTCTGCAACTTGAGCAGCCCTAGCAGACCGAGGCCGACCAGTGCAGTCTTGCGCGTGATTTGCGTAAGAGGACAAAGTGGGTGTTGAAGGAGAACACCAGCAACCGCCGTGACCTTCAACGGTGCCCTTTCGGTGCCCCAGGCTTGTCTGCCCTCGTGCTTGGAACATGTGGGCATGGCTTGCCAGCTCTCAAGATGGGTTCTGCGTGCGGCTGGCCAAAAGGCGATGCAAATCCTGCGCAAGCTTTGCAGCCCAAGCCTGCCTTAGCCTCACTTTTTGAGTTCATGAACTTTCAACTTTCTTGGAAGACCATTTTAGTAGCAAATGTAAAGTTTGGACTTTTTTTGGACCATTCACTCAGCCGGTGAGTAGCTGCATGCATCATCAGCAGGGGCGTAAACGTGTTTATCGTCCACTGTTCCGTTGTGCCTTGCGCATTCACAGCGCTTTCCCCTGCTTGGCGCCAAGACAATGGTGTGAGGGCACTCTGCCACTCACTCAAGCGCGCAGCTCCTAGGTTGTGCTGTTTCAGGCTGTGCAGCGGATTCAATCGCATGACCGTTAACAGGGCTGCTTCGATGACGATACGGTTCGGTGCTGCAAGCTTTGCGATACCACACGATCTTATTGACATGTATTGCTTTGAATGTCCGATATGCTTGTGATACAGCAACTTAGTATCGAACAATATCTCGATAAAGGAAATACGGTCAACCGCTGGTGCGCGGGCCTGCTGCGCGGCATTGCCACAAGAGGCCGGCTGGTGTGCGGTTTCCAAAGCAGACAAATCAATTTCTATCGGGTTAGTTGATTCTCAGTTTCTGTTTCGAATGAGCTTTGAAAGCCCGAAAGGCAAGAATCGATCCCACACACACACCAACAAAGCTTGCTGTGAGGGACCCTCCAGAACCCTCAAAAACGATCTAACTCACCGACTTAGGTTGATTTCTGGCCTCGGCTGGTCGCAGCCATAAATGTGTAATATGGATCGGCTTGCAGCAATTTTAGTGCGTGCTCCTGGCTTTTCCATTTGTCGAGAGCCAATTCGACCCATGTGTTTCTGAAAGAAGAGGGTCTCTTACAAGCAGCCTCTCAAAGACTTTTGCGTCGCCTCGTGCCAGGCAGCCGCCATCTGCAGCAGGCTGCTGCCCTTCTGGCCCCAAAGAGCCCCTAAAAGCAAACCCCAACCGATACCGATACAAATCGGTATGATTCAACACGATTTCCAGCGATAGTCTTCGATACGATTTTGAGGTTGCGATGCTTTTTGATACTGATAGCTCGCACTACGCAACGATACGATTCGGTATATTTGTATTGTTGAAACGGCCCTGGTTAATGAAGTCGCAGGATTTGCACAGATTCACAGATGACTTTTGTACCCTAGCTACCCAAGTGCCCAAATCCTACAAAGCTGCGGCCCAGTGCCTGTCAAAAACTGCTAATTTGCAGGGGAAACCTTACACTTGCAACTCCCTAGCACACTTACCATTAGCTGCCATGGCTGCGGGACTCTCAAGAAGTCTGCAACATCACCAACCGAGACAGACCTTGTTCCCGCTGTGGTTTGAGACTTGTTAAAGTCAGCCGATGTTTCTCTCATGGCTGACTTCGGCATGCCCCAGTGTGACAGCCTGGTTTGGAGACTATGTGACTCAACCTGTACTGTTGGCCGGTGCCACCCGTAGCACTAGCAAGGCGTGCGGAGGTTGCGTGTTCGATTTTGGTGTCTATGCTGTGGACCTGGAAGCCCCGGCATGGCTGTTTTGAGAACTCCATTGAGAGGTTATACGCGGAAGGGAGATGGAACGAAGAGAGCGAACGGATGCAGATGATTGGCTTTCCTGTCAGGCATGTCCAGCTCCTTCCATCCCTTCGTACACCATCAAATTCTCAGATGAACCGCTACTAGAGAAAGGGCTTGGAAGCGAATGAAAAGGAGTGGATCAAGCACAGCCGAAGCAACGAAGGTGTGCTACCCGCTCTGTCCCTGCACGTCAAGGCAACTGCAAGCTCCAGGCTTTTGGCCGGCGATTTGCGCAAGCAAGGGGATGGCTTTGGCCATGCCCGAGTTAAGTATGCTTTCTGGTGGGTGCCATTCGTTTTAATGTCCGAGTCAGCTTCTCTTTTCTGGCTGCCAGCTCATGCAGAAGTCGAGGCTTCCCTGGGCTTTGAAGCCTTGCAGTTTGCTGGCTTTGGCAAGCACTAGCCCGAGACATGTGGCCACTCCTTCTTGCAAATGCTCCAGCGAGTCGTTGCAGACGCAGCTATCAGCTGTCGAAGGCCCAACTTGAGTTGTTGACGATTCATCCAGCGGCTGTCACTGTGAAAAGCAATTGGCCGCTGACACTCCCCTTGCAGCTGCGGGGCGAGCGACGCGATGCATTTCCTCGGTTCTATCCAGTGGACGAGTCCAATAGCGGCGACGACTTGGCATGTCTTCGCACGTGAATGCTTGAGCGCATGAGTGCCACACTAGCTGAGCGCCAACTTCAACAGCAAGTGACGCGAAGCTTTCGGCTGTGAGTAGCCATTTTGCAGATGATGCGCCTTCTTGAGCCCAGCCTCCGCAGCAAATGCCCAGTTACGGGAATTTAGTCTCCTGGCAGAAGAATTGCCCCGTCGCGTCACAGGTCAATCCTCAGTGCTTGACGATTGGGTCTCGGATCTTGGGCGCATAAAACTTGTCAGCTATGGCAATTTCGTGTGCTGGCTTCACAAATCACTCCTCAGTGCAACGCCTCTACTGCTTGCGGAGCTTGCGGAGCTTGCGGAGCTTGCGGAGCTTCCGCTAAAAGGCCAGATGGCCAATACTGGGGAATACGGGCAAAGAAAGAGGGAAAGAGGGCTCTCGTGGTGAAACATGTTGGAGATGCCTGTCAAGCGAAACTTCAATTCCGAACCCCTTGTTCTTCACATGAGCCCGACTCATTGGACGCTGCCCTGACTTTCGGTCGCTTCCCAGCCACCCTATGCACGAACACCCTGCAGGGTCCAGTGTCAGCTGTCAGAATCCTTCCCAGGTTACCCAGCGTGCGGGTCCCAAAAAAGGGACCTGAAGAAGCAATGGCAATCTAGTGGCTGCTTCAACATAGAGGCTAGTCCCATGCATGTGTTGGCCAGGGTTTGCTTTTTCCGCGTAGGTCCCCAAGCTGCCCGGGATACGTATGGTAAGTCTACTGAGTTGAATGCTTCCGGAGCTATGGAGCTCAGCGTCCTGGCAAACAGTGTTGCTTGGCAAGGTCACTGGGACATTGCGCCCTTTTGAGAACAAAGCTATAGGGCGTATGTGCCGGCGGAAATGTCCTCGTGGTTGTCGCACCTCATGCTTCGGAGCAGACAAGAGGCAACCCATAGACTCGTTTGTTGCGTGTTAATACGCTTTATAGTATTTCTTTGACCTTGGTCGAGCAACCAACAGCAGACAGAGAAGACAACCGCAAGGCTGAGCTTGTCGGCGCACGTGCGGCGCCAGTAGCATTTTGAACACGCTTCAGCACCCGTCCTTGAATCTTGGTCGGTTTCTTGAGGAAAGGCTGATGCTGGTTGAGCTATCGCAGAAGCCAAGATATGATGACTTGTGCTTGCGCTGGAATGCCGGCAGCAGCTAAGATGCATTGTCAGCGTGTTCTCAGCGGCCAAGCAAATTTGAGGGCTTCGCGCAGACCATTGCCCTATTTTCTACGGTCGGCGTCGGCGCAAGTAGGAGCCACCCGGGTGCGTGATTGCGCAATGAATTCTGCAGCTCATGGCCCTGTTGTCCTGGTTCGGGGAACGCCGTGTCACCTGTACATTGCGATGCGGCCCCCTTTTGGGCACAGCGCTCGAAGTTCCTCGCCCGTGAAAGATAAGAAGAGGGAGAAGAGCGCTTTGGTTGTGAGACATGGCCATGGGTCAAAACCAATGGTACCAATTTTGGGTAGGTGTACCACCCATGTCAGTCTATTTTAGTGGGAATTGGGATGTTCACAGGGGGGATGCCTCTGAGACAGCCTTCACATGAGCCCGGTTCATTGCGCTCATTGGATGCTGGGTCTGTCCGGATCCCAGTTACCAAGCAAAGGACCTGAGAAGCGATGGCAACCTGGTGGCCTCAACATAGAGGCTAGTCCCATGCATGTGTTGGCCAGGGTTTGCTTTTTCCGCGTAGGTCCCCAAGCTGCCCGGGATACGTATGGTAAGTCTACTGAGTTGAATGCTTCCGGAGCTATGGAACTCATCGTCCCGGCAAACAGTGTTGCTTGGCAAGGTCACTGGGACATTGCGCCCTTTTGAGAACAAAGCTGGGGCGTATGTGCCGGCGGAAATGTCTTCGTGGTTGTCGCACCTCATGCTTTGGAGCAGAGAAGAGGCAGCCTTTTTTGGTTCGCCTTTCATTGCTGAGCTGCACGGTGAGCGGCAATATTGCGTGACGCAAACAGAATGTCCGAGCCATCCCGAAGGAACCAGCAGTACAAAGATACCAGAGACAGCGCTGCAGTGCCCGTGCAAAGAAAAGGTCAACCAATTGTGCCCGTCCTACACTGATTGCCAATTTCGATCCATGCCAAGCTTCTCTTCAATAAAATTGCCACATGGGGAATGAGACATGCTACCCGAAAGAAAAGGCGGGTATTTGGAGTAGGGGGAGAAGGGGTCCAACTGGAACATGCTAGGCGACACATCAGGAACCCGGTGGAATTCCGTTGGTTGGTTTCGCGCCTTTGGCGGGAGCGGGTAAGCCAGGCCCACATCAGGATGCGGGAGTTCGGCAAAGCGATTGATGCCTTGATGCAAATGGGCGGGGCTTGTTCTGATCCTTTGACCGTACGAACCCTCGCCATCCCATCCCCATCCGAAACGCATGGGGAAGGGTCTGGATTGCAACAGCAGCTTTTCGGGCCTCTCTTGCCTTTGGTCCCCCTTGTTTTTGTTTGAGGTCTCGCTTCCCGTCATTTCTTTGTGTCCATGTTTCTTATTTCAACTGCTTGAGCCAATGGGTCTGTCTCGGAAACGAGAAGCAACCGCCGGTCAAACGGATTTTCAGGTAAGAAAGGGCGGAACCTCTGGCCTTGCCGGCTTCCTCCTGGCAGGGGATGAGCAACAAATGCCTTCCTGGATCGCCAGTTGCTGCCTTTTTTCCATTCACTTTACCCCAAAAACCAGCAATAGAGACTGAAAAAACAGCAACTTGGCTATCTAGGTCATTTTGCTTGCTTTTGTTTTTTGCTCGAAGCCCGCGTTTTTGTTTTTTTTTTCCGGGACAAAGAAGGACTGGGCTCAACCTGGCCTGTTGGAAATGAGTTGCGCTTTAGGGTGGCTTTGTGGTGCGAGTTTTGGATGTGGGATTGGGCAAGGCTCCCAGAGTACAGCCTGTTGCCCCCAACCGAAGAGTGAAGCAATAGTTATTTCCCAGCCAACCTATTTAAAGGCATGAGGGAAGGGCTGGCGGCTGGTAAAAAGCATCTCACCTCAAGTCTCATCCCATGATGACATCCGGAAACCCCTTCCGCGCGTTCCTGCTCGCGTTGCTTGAGGAATTTGCGGACAATGCGTTGAAGCGGGATCCAAAGAACACCGTGGCGCGGGGTTCTGCGGGGTGCGGGCTGGAAAGATCAAGCTCGGCAGTTTCATGGGCTTCAGACGCACACACGCAAAGGCTAAAGTAGAGGTCGGACAAAGGCTGGAACTGCTATGTTAGGGGTTGGCTCACTGGGCTCCACCGTTGAATATGTGTTTTTTCCTCAAGTGAGAAGCTCGAGGGGAAATCTCTTGACTGACCTTGGATGTGAAATCGCTGTGGCTTTGAGAATTGACGTGGGAGCACCGAGACCAACCATTAAAGAGTGCTGTGGATGGTTGCGAAATCCATTTCGCACCACCGTTCAGAAACCCTGGTTTCTGACGATTCCCCTGTTTTCTATCAACAAACAATGGTTTCGCATGGGTTGAAAGTGGTGCAACATTTATGCTATCCACAGTATGCCCATAGTCAGGCGCCAAGTTGCTTGTTAAGAAGCAGTGTCTTGATTGCTTAGTCACTCTGCCTACCACAATCCCAAAATCCGAGCCCTGTCCAACAACGGACAACCAGTCGCTGGGGGGGGGCGCTGGTCCTTGCAGAAGCAAAGTTGAGTTTTTGACATGTTGGTTCGGCAATGTCCTGGCAGCATCCAAAAGGTCGACCTTTTTGTTGCCCATTGGCTACAACAAACCATTTACAAAAATGGAAATCAGCCTCTCTGGTGTTCCATATCCAATTTTGAAACAGAAGGAAACATAGGTACATTCGTATGACACCTCAAAATGACACCTCCTTGGGTTTTTTTGAACGGTTTTTCCGCGCACTTTTCAGAACTCAAGATGTGACGACTGCGCAAGGCCACCTTCATGTCGTGTCAAATGGAAGTTCCTTAATTAGGTCCCCCAGCAATTGGTGCCTTGTTTCCCCAACTTATTCTAACCTCTCTACTGGCGGACCTAGTTAGCTTCCTTTGCTTCCCGCCACCTCACATAGCAAGGAAAACCGCACAAACTACCCTCTACTCCGAATACCCGCTTTTTTCAGGGTGTGTTTGGGGGAAAAAATAGTATTCCATGGTAAATGCCTCCTTTTAGTAGGTTGACATGATACCCTGAGCAAAAGGGGGTATTTGGAGTAGGGGGTAGCCTTGACCAACTCCACTGAGCGTGCGACGCGGTGAGTTCTTCCCGCTCCTTCTTTCCACGACCTGGTGCGATAGGTAGGGACTGACTTTCCGAGCTTCCGGGCGTTGGTTGAATGAAGCGTTTGGGGCACTCCGAATAAGATGGATGGTGTTTTGCTTGGGGTCATTCCGTAGTCCGGGTGTTGGTTGAATGAACACTTTGGGGTTTCCCGCAAGGATAAGTTGGATGGACGGTGGGTGTCAGTCCGTTTCTCCTTCCCCGATCAAAGAAGCCTCCAACCTGCCCGCTTCCCGATGCGTCGGGAGCCAGGCGCTGTATCGGAAGTCCCTGGCGCTGATGGAGGTCCTGAACTTCCCGGAGGCTGGAAATGCTGGGTGTGTCGGATCAAACAAATCGGGGGAGGGGGGGGAGGGGGGGGGGGGCTCACTGGTGGGTGGTTTCCTTCATCTCACTGCCCGAGTTCCGAGACTCGGACTTGATCTTCACGGAAGACGGAGCTTTTTAGAGGTAAACCGCAATCGGGCTGGGAGTTTTCTTGGCCAGAGCAAGTGAGCCTTGGTTTCCCTTTTCAAACCAACCAGAAAAGGGTACCAACTCCAAATATTTCATCTCGGGACCCCAGGACACGGATTTGTTGTTGTTTTTTTGCGGAAGACATGGTTGTTGAGAATCATTTTACATGTTTGCTTATTGTGGTTTAGTGGGAAATCCCCACTAAACCGTAAAATGTATATTTTTGCTCCCCTTCCAAGGTCAACCAAGAAGAGGTGGTATGGGTTTTTACACTTGTTCCTCCCAGCACCTAGAGTTGGCGGTCGCAAGCGCCACGTATTTTGGTCGCAACGTTGTCTCCAAAAGTGGGTTTTGTTGAGTTCGGGGTGGAGCTCTGAGACAGAATCTGACAACTTCTGTGTTTTGGCGTAGGGTTGGAAGGGCTAAGCCTGGCAGAAACTCACTGCAAACATTTGTGGGTTGGTCTCTAATGGGCGTGTCTCTTTTTGACTAGCGTGTCTCTTTTTGACTGGCGTGTCTCTTTTTGTCTGGTCTTTTTTTGGAATGAACAGTACAAGTTCTTTTTTTTGGGGGGGGGGTGGCCCCTGAAAAACATCGACACACCCAAATGATGTGTTTGGAAGCTGTCACGGCTCATCTCAATGCCCTGAACCGGGGCCGAACGCCGGGGTGGCTTCCTTTGTCTCCCAACTGACGTCCTGGCTCTGTTGAAACCCCGGAAGATACCCCCCCCCCCCGTCCCCACTGGAAGGACCTCGACGCTTGGGACCAACCTGTACTCTTCACTGGCTGGTTGGCTGGCTGGCTGGTTGAGGTGAGGTGATATGAACTGTATCCTAATCTTGCAAACTCCCTCGGCCACCCTCCTCGCCCTTTGAAACAGAAGCCCTTGGCGGTTTTTTCACTCTCCTTGCCTCATGGGCCGTGCGACAGGATGCTTGAGGCTGGGAATGATCAGGCCTTTCTGGATTTGGCACAGTTCGAAGTTCCTTTGCGAAGATTCATTGCGGCCCCTTGGGCAGCATGCCTTCCAATGGTTTGTGTGTTTCTTGTCAGTATACCACCATGCAAGCACCGGTGGAAGCTGCTTGTTGTGGTTAATTAGAGCGACGATGGAACACAATGAGGAATCGCCCTCTGCAAGTACAAGCCCCGTCAGAGTTGAAATCCTGAGCAGGTGGCCCGTCTCACATGTTTTCTGCTTTTTGAGGTTGGCTGTAATGAACCCGAATCAGCCTTAACATGTTTTATTGTTTTTCCTGTCTACCTAGAGACTTCAAGTCTTTCACAGAGGCTCTCGCTATTTTTTTGGCCCCCAAACAGCCAGGTTTTGAGAACCCCAGACCTCCAGGGTGTCTACTGGAGGGGTCGGGTCTTCCATTGAAAGCCAAAGCCAAAGCCTGGAGTCTCCATGTCCCTTCAAACATGGGTCAATGACCCCATTATTTTGGGTATTAACCAACCATTTTTTAAGGGTCAGAAGGAGACTCCAGGTATGTGTGTTTATTTGTTTTTTTCCTGTGTACCTGGAGACTTCATGTCTTTAAATGAAATGGCTTGAGAGGGCCAAGGGGGTTTCCAACAATCTTCGACCACGGAAGCTCCGGCAGGCCATGGTGTGCTTGCAGCAGTTCCTGGAGATCTCGCCGGACAGCAAGTCGGCCCAGGCTCGTGAGCTTTCGTTGGGCATCCGCCGTTGGATCAGGGCTCCTTAAAAGAAATTCATTTTGCAATTGCAACCATTTGAAACATGGTTTTTTCGACCAAAATACAGGAAACCAAAAGATCTCCATTTTGCCAACCATTTGAAACATGTGGCTTTTTCAACACCAGAATAAAGTTGGAAACCACAATTTACAAGTTGCAATGTTCTGGTGTATAATGTAAGGATCCCTGTTGATCAAACGACGGAACCGCGGGAAGTCGGAAGTCGAAGAGAACCTGACAGGTGGTGTGAATCTTAAAGATCACCTGCCCAGTCACTTCCGGAGTCTTTGAGGGATAAACAAGCACTTTGATTTGTTTCGGACCAAGCATCAATATGTGGGCCAACTCAACGCTGTTTTTTCTTTCGGTTGGGTGATGTTGAGGGTAGACATCTAGGGAAACCCATTTGTTTCCCCCCCGGTTCAAATTTACACAAAGCCTCAGAGTTTCTGGGTGTTCAGGGCGTCGGTTTTTCTCCCCGCGTAAGTTGCGGTCGGCAGGAGATGCTGCAGAGGGCGAGATACCACGAGAAGAAGGGCGAGCTTCGTGAGGGGCTCAGAACCTGAGACTTGCTGAGAGCGAAATCGAGATATCGACGGCCGAAATCTTTTCGCAACTCCTCTGCTCGTGGTTTCACACTGCACATCGATGTGGTGATGACGGAACATGCTTTTTTGTTTTGCAAAAGCCTGCGTGGGCAACATGGGCAACAACAGGGCTCGGGCTATCGCAAGCTTGAACCTGCACACCAAGCCAGCGCCAACGGAAATGAATGGCTGGGACTTGGAACCCGGCGTGGTGCATGCAGAATGGACTTTGCCAGTCAAACCCGCTGTGCACCGAAGGTACATACATCTCATGATGAGAAAGCATTGCACGGGCGAACACAGGGAACTTGCTGAGAGAGCAGCGGCTGAAATGCTTGAAATGGCCCTGGTGGACATTCCATGCCTCTTTGGTGACGAGTCTCACCAGATGACGTAAGGATCACCCATCAGCTTCTCGACTCCAAGGAGGAAGTCTATCTAGACAGCCGTGACGGTCTTCGCCAGCGGCCACCGGGTCAAAACTCGCAAGTTCGATGTCCACCGTCCACCCCTGTGACCTTTCGAAGGCGGGCTTGACATCCGCACTCACAAACAATCACGACGCAACCGACCGCCCTTTCCAAACGTTGAAAGGGCACGGCATTTCGAAGAGAAAGTTACCCGGCACCAAGGGCCGGGATGCGGCTGAAAGGGCGCGAAGTGCACGTGCCCAGATTTTGTGAAAGCCTTGAGAAGTGTGCCAAAGCCGACAAGTTTGCCTGCCTTTCTGTCATTGCACGCAGTAGCCTACCGCAAATTACTTTGCAGCAGCCTTGCAACCTGCGCACTAAAGGGGGACAGGCCATCCACGCAGTTGTTAGGAATTAGTGATAGTATGCCTGCTTCACCGCCGAGCTCGCAAGCGTTACAGGGGAGTATTTGAGATGTTTGCAAGATGTATAAGATATTTGCGATGCTTGTGACTGTTGAGATGTTTAAGAGGCTTGAGATGTTTGAGATGACGTTTGAGTTTGAGATGTTTGAGACGTTTGTTTGAGATATGTTAACGTTTGAGAGGATGGAGTCAGAAACGCTTGAGACGTTTGAGATTCTTTGAGACGCTTGAGATGTTTGGAGGCTTGAGATGTCTGACACCACGTTGGTTGGTATTTGTGGGGAATCGAAGCATTCTCTTTAGTTTCTGAAGGGTGGTAGCGATCCATCCAGAGTATGGATAAACGCCCCCCACATCTTACCCATTTTATCCTCTCACTAAGCTTGCTGAGACTGACTTTGGTTTTGCCGGATTTTTGTTTGCATGTTTGCTGCCCGTGAAGGAAGCAATTCTACATGAGCAGAGGGCAAAATGTCTGGCTGGCCATGGCGGAAGTTCGTTACTTGGCTGGTTATACGGTGCAACCGCTTTCCATAGGTGGCCTTTTTGGTTGGTTTGTTCGAAAAATAGAGGGCCCTGGTGTACCTGGTGGTTCGATTGTCTACCAGGGCTAGCTATTTTTCAAAGAAGGACACCTATGCCGCTTTCTGTGCAACAGACTACCGGACCAAGGCTCCATGTTCTGGGCACGAGCTAAGAAGTCCTTCGGCCGTTCTTCGGGATCGCCTTCGGTTCAGTCTCCACCAAGTCCCCCAGCTAGGTGCCCTTTCTCACCCCTTTTTTGGTTGGGAGGGGAACTCTACCAAAATAGACAGAAACAAATCGGGCACCCTTATTCTGTCCTCTACTGGAGGACCTAGCCAAGCTCGGTGCCGGTGTCTCTTGCCACGCCTTCAGGGGCCAAGAAGATCGCGAAGAGGATCTTTGGATCGCAGGCACGGAAGGGCCGGGGAGGGTCTTCCGAGCTCGGCGCCGGCTCCGTTCTGAGCGAAAAATAATTAGCTAGAGTCTCCATGACCCTCTAAAAATGGTTGGTCATTGCCCAAAATACTCTAAAAATGGTTGGTCATTCTGGGCTCATGGACCCATTTTTGATTCGGTCAGAAGGAGACTCCAGGTCGCGAGCTGAGGGCCAACCAGGTGCCCCCCTGGAGCTCCTTTCCGGGGAACATCCCGCAGTTCGGGGTTTTGGGAGTTGTCATTTGCCTGGAATGTTTGGAAAGGGGAGACGCAACCCCAAGAAAAGTCTATTGTTGTGTGTGTTTTTTCCTTCTCAAAGAGGATTATGCATGGCAGGGGGCAGGGCTGTGGTTGGGTGCGACTGGTTAGGCAGTTCCACTTGGAGAAGGCGCACTACTAGGATAATGTGGATGAACCAAATCCAGTTCGCTGCAGTTGGGATGTATGAAACCCTATGAAGACTCGGACACACTGCCTACCAACTGGTGCAGGAATTTGTCCATCCACAGTAGCCTTTCAAAGGGGAACCAGCCAGTTTGCGGAGTCCTTGATCTAGCTGGGCTGTTCAAAGGTCATCACGCATCCTTTCCCGAGTTTGCGCAATGCAACTCCCTTGTAGTGATTTCCACAGGGGCGGACAGCGTTTGGTTGTTGTTGACTGCTGGTAATATTGACAATTTCAGTAGGTGGTTCTACTATTTGGCTCTATTGAGGTTATACGCAAGCCTCTTAGTAGAAACCAAGAGTGATTTTGAAGGCAAAGGGACACTGTACTAGAGTGCATGAACCACCCTGCATTGAAGTCTAGTTCAGGGCAATTGGTGAAACGGGACGCTGCTGCTCATGTGTTTCTCCAATTTAGGGACCAAAATGACCGGTTTCCCTTTCATGTCCCTTACAAAGCAATCAACACATTCAGAAATTGAGAAGGAGTCCACCATTGTTTTCAGAACCCATACGAGTATGTTCCAAACTCCCTCCCTCCCCCCCCCCCCCCCCCAAGAAAACAACAACAAACACAACAACGCAAAAAACAACAACAGCAGCCCCAAAGTCAGGCTCCTCAAAAATGAGTCCCCCCCGCCCCCCCGCAAACCCAAAAAAAGAACAAAGAAGGCCAACACCCCCCCCCCCCCACAAATAATAATAATAATAAAGACAGCAACTCACTCACTCACTCAAGTTCGCACGGGGGCCTGTGTGGGCAAAGCTGATTTTATTCGGGGGGGATAGCAACACAAAATGAGGGTGCTCCTGGCAGCCTAACGAAAAGGCAGCCTGAACCATGGTTGTTGTTGGGAAACATTTTACATTTTGCTTATTGTGGTTTAGTGGGAAATCCCCACTTAGCTGCATTTTTTTGCTCCCCTTCCAACGTGAACCAAGGAACGAGCCGAACCAATTGGGCAACCGGCTTGGCCTAGGCTTCGTCTTCGGGCACTTCGGGCGCTTCTTTTGGCGCCTCGGGGCTGCTGCAGCGACTGCGGCAACTCGGCATCGCACAGCTCAACTTCTGCCGCGGATTTCCCGGTCCTTCCATTTGCTAGCATGAATCAATGTTCCCCTGGCTTTAAAGGGAATCGCTTTCACAAATGGAGGCAAAAGCGTCCCCTGGAGAAGCGCGCCCGCGCCATAAACAGGGCTCCTTAAAAGAGATTCATTTTGCCACCATTTGAAACATGTTGCTGTTTCAACACCAGAATAAAGGGAAACCACAATTTACAAGGCAATGTTCAGGTGTATAATGCATCCGGATCCCTGCTTAGTTGGTGGTGAATGCCCTGTTCCCATGGCCTGGGGTCGGGGAAGTCCTCACATGCGTATCCCGTATCCTCCGTTTGAGTACTCCAAAGCGGACCTTGCAACAGCGGGGTCCCCGTGAAAGGTGGGTTCCAGCTATGGAGGACAGGAACATTGGAATGGCCAACTTTTTGTTTACTTTCTTTTTTATTTAGATGCTTCAACCAGACACCGGAGTGCTTCGAACCTCAAAAAGCAAGGCCAAACCACGCAAAAGGCCCTTACGTCTTCTTTTTCCATCGGCCAACCAGTCTGGCGGCAGGGTCTTTGGAGCCTGGCATGTGTTACTTCTGGCAAGGTGTCACTCAAAAGGTGGCATATGTCTGCTTTTTCTTTTTGTTGGCGAGCTCAATTGGGGTCAAAGAAGCTTCCCATGGTGTGCGGATCTCAGAATTCAGGTTTGGAATTATTGTAAGAACTGCAGATGGATATACATTGCATAGAGGCTCCACGGCTCCATGGTGTGCGAGGTGTACCCGATTTGTCGATGGAATCCATGAAGCCGGCATGTTTGGAAGAATGTATTGTTTTGGCAGGGATCCTATGGGGGTTGGTCAAAAGATCCGGTAAACATGGGAGGACCATTGGTTGGAGAACCCAACCAGATGATCTTTCGACCAAACCGGAAAAGTTACTATCATGGTCGTTTGGGGGCCGCAGGGAGGCCAGCTTCAAGACGAGTTTTCCGGGGGAGTCGGAGACCATTTTCCGAGCTCTGACTTGAGGGAAAGAGGGGCCTTCCTGTCGGTAGCTTCACAAGCTTGAGGGTCTGGAGCCCTGGGTTGACAAGGCCACTCAGTTGGATCAATGCCTTCCACCTGAAATGAGTACGGATTTCCATTTTTTAGAGTTGAAAGGGGATCGGTTTTACTACCAGGCATATGTTCTCATTGGTTTTTCCAGGGGCCGAAGAAGTGAATGGAACATCCCATCCATCGCTTGAGGCAAATCTGCTGCAGGCGCCGCAAAGAGGACTGAGAGCTGTCCGAGCCGTTAGCAGAGGGTCTCCTCCACTTGCTTTGGATTACGGACCATGGAGGCAGGGTTGTTGTTGGGAAACATTTTGCACTTGTGGTTTAGTGGTTGAAATTCCCACGTCAACCAAGGAGGGGATACCCCACCAATTCACACGAGTCCTTTCGTAAAAGGAGGGGTCCTGGTTTGGACCATTTTCCTTCTGAAGGGACCCCCTGTGATTGGTGAGAGGGTACCCTAATTGGAGATTCCTCTGTAAATGATGGTTTGTTAGGCAGGTAGGTCTGCACTTGGCCAAACAAACAGCTGTTTCACTTTCGGGCAACCCTGAAATGGCAGGACACAGGTCGAATTTACACAGTCGAATTTATGATTTATCTTTTCCTTGAGGCTCCTGAACCTTTCCACGGGCTTTCAATAGAAGACCCGACCCTCCAATGGACACCACCCGGTGGTAGGTCTCAGGTGGCGTGAAGGCCAATCAATCGAATTGGACAGGGCTCCTTAAAATAAATTCATTTTGCAACCATTTGAAACATGTTGCTTTTTCAACATCCAAAGAAAGTTGGACACCACCATTTACAAGGCAATGTTCAGGTGTATAATGTAAGGATCCCTGTTGGAGCCTCTGTGTGAAGATTATCAAACGGAGCCCCCTCGAGGCTTAAGAACTCCTGTGTAATGTTGTTTTTTGGGGGGGGGAATCCAAGTCGTTGCGTCAAAAGCTCACCCCAGAGCCAGGCTGGACGGCTGGACGGCTTGGAAGACCAAACCTGATTCCTCGTTCCAGGTCTGTCCTTTTTGGTCTACCGGCCATCACCTGCCCCGTTTTTTTTGGGGGAGTTTTCTCAACTTCCTGGGGCTGGGGTAGACTTGAGATACATTTTACATTTTACCAGTGACTCCAAGTGAAGCAAGCAAGAAAAAAATATATATATATATATATATATATACATATACACATTCCATAACTGGGCCCAACTCTAATCATGGGATTTGTCGAGATTTCTTGGGGTTTTCTTGGGGTGCTCACGCCTCGGGCTTCCTTTCTGTATTCACTGGAGGGCAAGAATTTACCACTGGACAGGTTTTGGTGTTGCTCCTCCATGTGTTTTGATCTGATCATGTTTTGTTGTTGCTCCTCCAGTTGACTATACTCCTTCCGGGTCTCTGAGGTGAGAAATGGATTTCGCAACCATCCGCAGTAGCTTCCCACCCGATGCGAGCCTTGGCCATCAGGGGTTTCGGCTGGTTTCGGCTGAACGCCAAAAGACTTGCGGCTGAGATGCCGATTCCGCGCGGGAAAATTGCGCGGGCGGACGAACAAAACGAGCGTCCTTGAAGTATGATGTCGAAGGTGGAGCAAGTATGAAAAGACCACAGGAGACCCATTATCCCAATCCCGTAGCAGACCCAAGCCTCCCTCCCAACCTATGCATGGTTTACTCGACTTCTTGCTGTTGTTTTACCTTTCGGTTTATGGGTGTCAGGTTGGGGGGCCCGAAAAACACAGCGTCGTTCCAGTGACCGGCGTTCTCCTGGAGCATATCTCAAACAGCCGTGAGTTCCTTTCTTTGCGCTACAATACGATCATTCGCATATGCCATGTGCTGTGGATGGCAACGAATTCGAAGTCCGCGAGTTTCTCGCCGCGAAGCGAAACCACGGGAATGAAACCATAAGGTTCATTGGTATTTGCGTTGGAATCGAATCATGGCCTTGGGTTTCTGAACCTCTCAGTGCGAGAATCGGAGATCGGCCATGGGCATGGAGAATTCGTGCCCTTCTAGACCCCCCCCCAGCTGCCTTTCGGAATCCGCGCTTGAAGTGTCTGGACCTCAAGCAATTGTTGGAGGCTGCTACCTGGAGTCTCCTTCTGACCGAATAAGAAATAGGTCCATGACCCCTTTTTTTTTAGGGAATGACCAACCATTAAAGGGTCATGGAGACTCTAGGTATAGTTAATGTGTCCTTTCTCCGCACCGCATCGCCCGGTTTTTTGGCGTTTTCGGCTCAGTCACACCATCCTGACTTTACCAAATTCGCCCCGTCCGGTAGTGGAACCCTCCGGCGATGCTCGCCTTCCTGAACGTCATCTTACTGCTGGCGGCCCATGTGGCAGCCGAGACTAGCTCCTGCGCACCGGTGCTCTTGCAGAGGCAACAATCTCTGCGTCTCGGTGCGACAATGCTATGCTGGCCTGCTGTTGGAAAGGACCTTTGTCCCTGAGCCGTTTGGGAAAATGAAGGTTTTCATTGGTGTTTGGGACAACAGCTTCCCCCCTTAATTAATATTCATCAAGTTTGTTTGCCGCTGAGCCAATATTTACTACTAGGACGGGGGGTGCATTTATTCTTGGGGGCAAACACTTGATGAAGGCTTCCCCACTATGTGTCTTTTTTCACGGGACCCCGTAAATGGTGGTTCTCATGATGGTTTTCCTTTGAAGCCACCAGAAAAGGGGTACCAACTCAAAAGGACAGCCATGACCTCCATTTTTAAGATGAGCTTTTGTTTGTCCGCGGCGTTTTGTTTGTGTTTCTGTCCACAGGGTCTCGCCACACAGGATGAGTCCAGTCTTGGTGGTTGCCAGTGGTTGATCAGATCTGGGCTGGCTTTCTTTTCGGATGCTTCTTAACAAAAAAAAGGATGAAACACAACCTGCGGCGTCCCTTTGAAATGAATCCAACACGAATATCCTCAAAGGCATGCCCGCATTGTACAGAGGCACTTGAACACACCACTATATGCAACAATCCGCCTCATAGTTGTTGCGAGTACTCTTGGGAAAGAACATCAATTCGGGAGTCGCCGGTGAAATGGGTATGAGTAATATGAACTCTTGCTCTTGCCAGATTGTTGGTCTGTTTGGTTTTCGTTTCAAGGCTGATCCAGTATCGTCAAACGCCTGGGTGGCTTGAGAACCGTTCATCCAATAAGCTTCTGGCCTTAACCCTTAGCCCCTAGTCACTAAGAGTCACTAGTCGTGCGTTGAATAGAGGAACACCCCTGCAAAAGTGATGAATACCCACCAAAACCAGGGACACCCCCAAATAGAAACGCAAAACCAGGGGCTTTTTTTGAGCCCCGGGCCAACGTTACTGGCCATGTTTGGACAAAGCCAAGGCGAGACCACGCCCATCCAGCTCCTATCGCCCCGCAGGCGGGGTCGATCCCTGGTTCCAAGAGCCAGGGATCGTTCTTGGAACCAGGGATCGTTTGGAAGATGTCCTCGCTCCTCTTGGGGATCGTTTCAGATATGGCCATGGGTCAAAATCCAAAGCCCGAACCCCCAGTGAACATCCGATTCAATCCAACCACTAAAATAGGAAGCCTAAAATGGGTGGTGCACACCTACCCCAAAATGGTACCATTGGTTTTGACCCACAGCCATATTTAGATATTCTGTTTTGGTTCCAGTTATTTAAGGGCTGGGCTGCTTGGCAGGGATCGTTTCAGATATTTGTCTCTTTTGGCTCCGTTTATTTAAGGGCTGGGCTGCAACAAAGCCATGTGTTTTTTGCTTCCCTTGCTGGTGCTCAGCAGCGAATGAGGGAATGACCCGTATGAACCATCCAGCTGCTGGAAACGCGTATTCGGGAACCTTCCACTGAATGAACCTTCCCTCATTCCCTCATTCCCTACCTATCGCAGCAGTTTTGCTTACTGCGGATGGTTGCGAAATCCATTGCGCAGCACCTAAGAAACCATGGGGCACCATTGGCTTGCGAAAGGTATTTCCAGTGGAATCGGATCATTCCCTTTGCTGAACGGTGCGAAATGGATTTCACGACCATCCACAGTACCCACGCTAGGCAGGCACAAGATAAACTCCGACACATGGAAGTGTTATTCTAGCAAAAATGTAGCTGGTATATGGAATTTGGCACCCCAGGTTTTTGTCCAATCAATGCATTGTGGCACAACAATCCAGCCTAATTAAGCCTTCCAATGCTTCGTTTCCATCACTTCGTTTGCTGGCTCCTTCACAAAGGCGAACTTGGTTAAGTCTGGTTGACATCTAGTGAGTAGCCCTTGGAAATTGACCGCACAGTACTATCCACCTTGAGCCAATGCCAAACCCAAACCCAAGCTTAATCCCATCGGCCAATTTACAAAGTTGTTGGTGACGCTACGTTGTACTTTACTTGGAAATCCCCCCTAAGTGAAGTCAACCCTGTGAGTTGCTGGTGGTTGTTTCTGAACCCAGGCGGCGGTTTTTCCACGAACTTCTCCCCGAAGATCCAAGTGAGCCTAGGTGAACCTGAGCGACGCTCTGGAGGCCTTGAAAAGTGTCTTGGACGAGATTTGTGAGATGTGATGATGGCAGGTGACGGGAATTTCCGGATGCTGGGGTCGCTCCTGATTTTTTGTTCTCCGATCTTAGGGTGAAACGGAGCTTGCTTAATGGCCAACTGTAGATGGGTACCTTGTCCGCCTGCCGCCTGTTCCGCTTCTTTACATGGTTCTGGGCCCCAAGCATTTTAAGACCGATTGGTTTTGATTATGACTGTCAGGTGTGCGTTGGGTGGGGAAGTGATGGCACCCCAGGATTCTGTCTCGACTCAAGTCTTTGGTATTTTGCGGTCTGCTGATGAAGTTCTGAAGAACTTCTAGGTCCCCCAGCTAAGCAGCTAGGTGCCCTTTTTTAACCCTTTTTTTTGGGGGAAAAGCAAAACGGAAAAAAGAAACGGTACCAACTTATTCTAACCTCTACACTAGAGGACCTAGTCTTGTATTCTGCGTATCTCTATGGTTTTGGGCCAATCACCCTGAGTTTGATGGCGGGGTGTTCTGGTCTTCGAATCTGCGGGACCGTCCCGTTCCGCACCTTCCCCGCACCGAGGGGGCGCGGTTTTTGGTTTTGGATCGGTTCCTTTAGGCTTGCCTAAGCCCCGAAATTGAAAAAAAAACGAAAAGAAAGACACAGTGTCAGACGTTTTTTGTGTTGTTCCAGCAAACATACTTGGAATGCTCTCCTGTTGCAATATTCAGGGAATAGACTCCTGCTTGTTATGGTGAGCTTTTTTTAGATTGCCCCCAATGCCGGGTGTGTTTTCTTCGGAGATTCCAGCCAACCCAAGTCTCTTTATTATTTTCAGGCTAAACTATGTTGGTGTTCCTTCAAAACAACCCAATCAATGTAGCACTTAGGAAAAAAACAACAGCGAGACGGCTGTTTGATTTCTAGTAGAGAACGCTCTCACTTCACCAAGCGTGCGGATCTGAACTGCAATACTCTATGTCCTGACCATGTGAGCAGCTCACATCAATACTGGCTATCATCGTTTGATGGTCCCCGGACAGTTTCGTAGATGAAGGGGGGCACACCGGATTTTACAGTGTCCTCCATTTGTGTTTTCCCGGTTGCAGCAACATGGACCGTTTATGTAATAGAGAATTCTGCAAATGGCAACGGCTGCCCGCTGGTTTCCCTTTCAACACCCGTCCAGAAGTCGAGAGGGTCGGAGGGGGGGTCTTCACCTCCAAAGTGATGAGCTTTGTGGATGGGACATCCCCCCTTAAGCAGCCAGTTTTGCCTCCGGGGCTACCGAGCTTCTTTCCAAAAACCTTCCTTTGTGGGCTTCCGAAAGCTGCCACTTCCAGCGCTTCAGGCAACTCGAGCCAGACTCCCAAGAGCAAGGAGGATGCGCTGCGCCGGGGTAGGGCCAGGGCGCATTCGCGAGATGAAATGGGCTGGGTTGGTGTTGTTTTGGGAACTGGAACTGCATAATAAAGCCGGACCACCTCGTTTCATGCACTGATGCGATCGAGAGACCCAGTGGCTTTTCATGGAAAACAACAAGAGCACCTTTTTGGTTGGTGGATTGCAGAAGCCTCGAAGTTGAGTGCATGATGTCCTTCTCTTTACCAACTCTCAAGCAAGATGTCAATATGTAAGGTTTTGTCTCGTCCATGGCTGCTTCCTTCTCACGAATGGCAAACCCAACACGAAAAAGCACAAACCCATGACTAGTTTTTCGTGTTGGCCCGCTAACGTGAGTGCAGAGCTCCGTTTTGACTGGCGACTTTTAAGGCATGTCATCTGGACCATGCCCCATCCAAGCGGCACCTTTTTGGTTCAAAGTTGTCCTCGTAAGGGTTTCCCTGTAATACTGTGGATGGATGAAATCCATGTCGCACCACTTAAGAAACCCTGAAATGATTAGATTCCATTGCAAGTACCAACAAACAATGTTTTCTACCGTGGTTTCTTAGGCGGTGCGAACATGACTTCGTCCATTCACAATATCCACCAACTAGAAAGGTGCTCTTGGTGTTTTCCATGGAAAACCACTGGATCTCTGAGCATTGGTGCATGAAACGAGGTGGTCCGGCTTCGTTGGCTGGCTCATGTAGGAGCAAGCAGCCTTTTTTAGCTCACGTCTTTGAACAGGTGGCGTGTCAAACAAACGAGGTCAGTTTCGGTGTTCACCACTGCGCCAGGTCCACTCACATTGACTGCTGGCCACCCTCTTTTTCTGGAAAGACGCGGGTTTGCCTCATCGAAATGGAAGCAAGTGAACCGTGGACCAACAAATCCACGCCCATGGGCATCTGCCTAGAGTCTCCATGACCCATTTAAAAATGGTTGGTCATTACCTAAAATGGGGTCATGGACCTATTTTGAAAGCAGAAGGAGACTCCATCTGGTGGTTTTCTTGGTCTAGCCCAGAGAGAAAATCCATTCCAGCTGATCGGCATGGATCTCCTCGCATGGCGGCTTTTGTTTGTTTGCTTGCCACTGTGCCTGAAAGAAAAAATGTGCCCCATGTTTAGGGCGAAGCCAACAAAAACAAGCCCAGACCGACGCAGATCAAATGATTGAACAGTTTGTGTTATCAGTTCCTAAGGTCCTAAGTCCCCAAAAACCCGATGCAAGCACACCATTTGGGCAAATCACATCGCGCTCACCCGGTAATTTTCAGATTGGCTTGGAATCACTGTGGTTGGCAAGTGTTTAGGCTATTTGTTTTCGTTGGTTCTGTTCATTTTAGTATGGACCTGCAAAAGAAGCACAGTCGTGTTCTAGCTTGGGTGTAAAGTTGACCAGAGAAGTTTGTCGCTTCTGAGCATGGCCCGTTGCCTTTCTTTCTACACTGCCTTTTTGGACACCAACTTTGGTTTGTGAATTTATTTTCTGATTTGCCCAGGATGTCTTTCTTGAGCATATGGGGATGTGTGCCTTTGTTGTTGTGGTTCTTGTTTTGCGGTTGTTTTTCTTGGATGTCTTTCTTGTTTCTGCAGTTCCTTTCTGCCCCAACAGCCTTAAGCTTTGCAGTCTCTGCCAAATCATGCGTGGTTGCAGCTTTCAGGGAGGGTCAGGAGAAAGTCTTTTCCAGGGGCTTCCGGGCTGTCGGGGTTCAGCCGACAACTTGATATTAGCACAGGCATGTGCGTAGTGTGGTCAGATGAGACAATATATCATGTCTAAGTCTGAAGATTGCAGGATTTATTGCGGGTATCACACTACTATGGAACACGAATGCGGTCGGAAGAAGAATAAGAAACACACTACGACGGCATCAATTTTTATCCTTGGAATGATTCTAGGGGTTGATTCCCCAGTCTTTTCAGCCATCGTTCTTTTCGTAAAGACCCGCCATTTCCCAAGAGTATTGGCGGTTTTCTAGAAAGAAGGACCCCTGGAAAGAATGGAAATATAAGTTACCCCTAGAATGATTTCTGGACCAGGCCGCCAGGTCGGCCATCTGGTTTTGTGTCAGGAGGCCGAGAAGGTCCTCAAGTGGCTGAAGCACCTCTTCGGCGAGGTGGCGGCGGAAAACAATGTCTGCCACTCTGACGGACCGTGGAATGCCGAACAAGAACGTGTTTTCGCTGTTCAGGGCATGGGAAGCCGAAGCGCCCAAAGGAGAACCAATCTGCTTTGACACAAAACGAACATGAATTTTCATTTGCGGCATACTGTTGATGAACGAACTCGTGCACCTAAGAAGCCTAGAATGCTACGATTCCCCTGCAATTTCTTACATACCTTTCTGGTTTCAACCATGCTTTCTGAACGGTGCGAGACTCGCGGAGTTCGCCACCCACAGCATGATCCAAGTGACAGGAAGCAACCCAGGTCGCAATGCGTGACACAAGCCATTTTTTGTTCATTCGAATGGGAAATCAAATAAAAAGACAGGCGTACCTTCCTCACAGGTTCAACTTTGGGCCGAGTAGAACATTGTCGAGCTCTGCTGCTTCGTTGGGTGTGTGCTTTTGTGAAGGTACCCTTTCAGGTTGTGCTTAAGGGAAACCAGCATTTGAAAGCCACATGTTTGTTCGTCCCCTATTTGGCCATGCCTGAAAAACGTCGCCGCTGCCATACTGCCACCAAAAGAACTGCGACGGCAGGAGCACCGGGCGGGCTGATCAAGCTCGTTGAGGCTTCTGGTTCTACTCCTGGATGTGGGCGAAGGTCTTCAAGCTTGTTAGGTTAAATGGCTTTGACTTGAGCACATAGGCGTCCTTTTTAGGTTAGTTTAGAAATAGCTGGCACGGTTTAGATGGGTTTTGTTCCATTTACCAGGGCCATCTATTTTGCCAAAAGGCCTCCTATGCTTGTGCAGGTCTCCAGAACTTGAATTGCTTCAGGCGGGACGTTAGGCTTTTTCCCCAGCAAGCGATGGGTTGCAGCTGTCAGGGTTTAGAAGGAGTCTTCAGCCTGGCAAGGGAGGCGTCCCTTCGTTGCCAACATCTTGGCTCGCCATCCGGTTCTGTAGCTTTCTAGATCTTTTTGGCTGGTTTAGTGGTTGGGTTTCCGTATTTATCCCACAAGTGAACAACTTTCTAGGTCCCGGTTCCTCCTACCAAAACAGACTGCAGAAAAACATCGGGCACCCGTATTCTAACCTCTCTACTGGAGGGCCTGGCTTTTAGCAGATCAGAAAACAGGGCCAGCCCAAACATCATCCCCATAGTTGTCCTGTTTGGCTGTTTTGCTAGAAACATAGATGGGCTTCCCTGGTAAATCCCTGGTGGTTTAATCATCTACCAGGGCCATCTATTTCTCCTAAAAGAACACCTATGATTCTAGGGGACACTTCCATTTCCATTCTGAATCCAGGGATCCGAATCTTTCCAGAAAAACCATCCGAACCCCAGGTTGGAAACAGCGATCGGTTTTTGAAAAGAAGGATGGTTGAAAAGAATGGAAAAGGAGTCAACCCCTAGATTCATGTGGGATGGGCCGTGATCTTCCTTGGGTTTGGGCACAACCCCCCAACCTCATGCTGAACATGCTGGGGAATCAACCCCTAATGATCATCCCCGTGGTTGTTCAGTGGCACCCTTTTTCTCTCTTTTTTCGGTGGCTGCCCCACTCAAAATGGTCTTCTCCAAAAAGGAAACTGGCTGGTAAAAAACCTGGTAGTTTTTGTGCTTTTCTTCTGTTTGCTGCTTGGCTGTGATGTGTCGAGCTGCAGGGCTGGAGGAGGGGGAGGAGGGGGGGGGCAGTTTGTAAGTATCAGCTTCAAGAATTGTTTCTGCCGTGCGTTGGCTGCAGTTTGTTGGTTCAGATTTTCGAGTAATTGAGCTGCAAATATGGAAAGAACATTGGGCTTTTGTACAATTGTGCATAAACACAATGCTGTCCTAATTCTCCCGTTCACTGTCAAGCATGCGCCAGAGATGACAAATTGCAGAAAAGCCAGGGGAAAACACGTGTGACACAGCTTTCGCCTCCAGGTTTTTAACAGCCTGTGACCTCCAAAAAGGGTTCCCTTTTTTGCAGGGTCACTGAACAACCGAGTCCCCGTTTTTCCTCCTCGCGCCGGGCCTCGCCGACTTTTTTCCGCCGCGCAGTCGGCGGCCTCGCCGGACTTGGTGTCCCTGGACCTCACCGCCGCCTTCCACCAGAGCGAGGATCGGTCGACTCGAGCGGTGGGAGACGTGGGGGAAGTCGTGGTGGAGGAGTTGGCCATCCGGTTTCTTAGGTTTTGATCTTTTCTTAGCTGGTCTCGCGGTCTCATTGTCACTCACTCTTTCCCTCTTTGGTTTGAGAGGGAGCAAAAACAACCAGAACTAGGTGCTTCAGCTGGGCGCCCTGTGTTTCCGTTCCTTTTTGGTTGGGAGGGTTCATCTACTACAAGAGACTACAGAAAAAGGGGCACCCTTATTCTAACCTCTGCACTGGAGGACCTAGGCAGATTTTTCACCGCGGATGGCGCGAACATCCGGCCAAAAAGGCACTCAGTGGGTACTCAAGCTGTTGTTTTTGTTCTTTATCCACCAGTTTGCATGTGTTAAGTCCATCACTGGAGTTTGGTCCGGCAGTGGCAAGAGAGAGGGCTGTTGGCGCCAAGTCGCGTGCAGGTTGGTGAAACGCAGCGACACCGAGAGCCTCAAGCTGTTAGGTACTGGATGAAAAGTTTGCCCTAAATCAAGACCTAGGGTTACGCAGGTTTTCGTCTACTTTTCCTTTTACCAGGGTTCCATTTTGGGCCCCTATTTTTGAGCCGCAGCCACATTGTTTCCAAAAGGCCACAAGGGGATGGGATCGTATGTCCGAGACTTGTTTCAGGTCTAGGATAGGGTATGAATATAAGGACAACTGGGGTTATATCATAGTTTTCGGCCATTTGAGGAAGCACCTTAAGGGTATTTTGTGCAGCCCCATGTTTTGCACGTACAGAACCATTCAAGAAGCAAACACTTGGGTTCTGACATAGGCCTTTTCAATAGCAGGTCTACTTTTGTTCCCGTTTGAAACCATCCCCGGAGGCTCCTTGCTGCAATATGCATAAATCCGACGAACATCACACCTGCACATATCCACATGTCCTCACCATCTCTTCAAGAGCCCGGGACGCAGTTCCTTGGGTTTCTTGTAATCTTTGTTGTAGCAGGTGGGTTGCCAGGTCGTTGTGCAGGGATTTGTTTTGCCGTTGCGGAACAAGCACCTGGTTTCGTTACGAAACGAAGCCACAAAGTTGCTATGACAGAAAGCATGGTTGTTGGGAAACGTTTCACATTGTTGCTTATTGTGGCTTAGCGGGATGTTTGTTTGCTCCCCTTCCAGCGTCAACCAAGAAAAGCTCGCGTGCCTTGGGCGAGGGTCCTTTAAAGGCAGCAGGAGTCGCGAGCTACCCCTCGCCCACAGTCAGATGTCACCCCCTGACTCGAAAATGTTAAAGCCTGATATTCACAAGCACCATGAAACACCTAACAAAAATCGCCAAGGGTGCTTGGAGTATTTATAAGGACCAACAAGAAGTATATCCTTTTTGGTGCATTTTGCATTTGTGCCAACTAATGGGTCTCCCATTAAACCACTAAAAGTTAAGCCGTTAGCAGGGGAGCAGAACGCCACCGAGTCCTGTTGGATGTTTTGTTTCTAAGAGGGCCACCCGAAGGTGGTGAAGATCCTGGTGACGGCCATCACTACCGATGGCGCCTACGTGGAAGGTGCCCCCGAAAAAGTCAAACGCGCGAAGCGGATCGGCGCAAGCGCTTTTTCCGAACAGCATTTTCTAGGTCCCGCAGCTAGGTGCCCTTTCTCACCGTTTCTTTTTTGGTTGGGAGGGTTATACTAAAATAGACTACAGACAAAAATCGGGTACCCTTACTCTAACCAGGTCGAAGAAGCAAATGGAAGCCAGAAGGGTGCCCTTCTTTTTTGTGTGGTGAGGTTTTGAACCAAACTCTTACCACTGGAAGGACTCTTGCCCCGCCCAAACCGCGAGGCCTTGCGATTCAGGTACACCCCGAACAGAGCCATCCGAGGGTCCAAGGGGAGCCTTTGGAGGCTCCCAAGGCTCGAAGGCTTTTTGCTCCGCTCGGCGAAAGGGCTCCTTTGCGCCCTTGGTGGTTGCTTTTGCTGCGATGGGTATAGGGAATGTGGTTGAGTGAACTGGGGATTCACTGAATTAAAGGAAACCATAGGGATGGTTTATGGGGTCATTCCCTCATTCCCTGACCAGCAAGTTTGGAGGGCTCCATATTTTGAGGCAAGCCGATGGCCAATATGTTCAACTGCGAAACGGCGCCTGGTTTGAACAGTAGATGGTTGGATTTTAGTTTAAACTTGGGGTTGGCCCAATCAGTAGAGAAGGCTCACATATTTATAGATGTCGTTTGTGTGCCTGTGTTGCGTAGCATAGGACATTTCGGGATGGTTGGCGGCTTTATTGGCTTCCTTCAAACATCCAACATCCATACTTATATGAGCGACTGCCCGTATTTACAGAAGACGCCGGGCTGAACCAATCTTTGGGTAACATACTGAATTAGGTTCAAGACGATCTAACCCCCCCCCAAAAAAAAAAAACATAATAATAATAATAGAAACAAGAAGAAGAACACAACGAGGTAAGGCCGTGAAAGATAATGGGTTGACATCACCGACGCATGTGGAATTCCAAAATTAGGTCAATGAGTCCAAACCGGTGCAGGGTTGGAGAACGAGGTGGGTTTTCTTTCAACCATGTAGGAAACAACTGCCGTAGGTCATCAACCGCGCAAGCACGATTCCCTGTCGCGGCTTGTAGAACTTGGACACTTCGCCGATCCATTTGGCTATCGCCAGTTGATACCTTCCCAAAGTCGATTTTTCCTACACCTAGCGGACTGACCGTAGATATGAGCTTGCTAAATGATCCCATCCCCCTTGAATATGGAGTTGGGGTGTAGGGCTGACCCTGGATTTCCATTTATTCCTATGTTCCTGGGAGCCTGGGAGGGGGAGGGGGGTGACTTCTGGATTTCCATTTCTGGTTCCGTGTTCCTTTTCTTTGGTGCATGTTGCTTGGATGTTAGGACTTTAACTTTTTGCCAACCAATGGGTTTTCCGGATTAAACCACTAAAAGTTAAACGTTTAGCATAGCGGAAAGCAACCGAGTATTATGGAGGCTAGATACATGGAACGACTTGGGGACCCCCCACGCCAAAACTCTACGTCGGAGGTCAGGGCTTCTATGCCATGCTCGGGGAGAACACCGACGTGTACCTTCAGCTGGAGCTGGATCGTGAGAGGCTCTCGGGGGGGCCGGGGGGGGGGGGGGTGTTGGCTGTTTCGGCACGGAAAACCTCCAGAGAACCCCCTCCAAATTGGCATGGGGGGGTGGGAACTATAGCTTGGGGCTTACACATGTCGCTTCCGAATCGAGTTGAACTTTTTCGTCTGTCTGCTTCTGGGCCCATCGTTTTGACTTGTGCCTCCAGCCCTGCGCCGCCAAAAAGAAGGGAGACAAGAAGCAGAGCCAAGGAGTGCCACTGGCGTTGCCACGGGGGTTGGGCCAAAAGTTGGACGATTTTTGGAAGACTTGGCTCCATTTTTGAAGGCCTTCTGGGAGCCTCTGGCCGCAAAACTCTGAAGTGTTGCTGTCAATTTGGGCAATCCAGGCTGATGAATCGAGCCGCAAGATGCCATGGGGGTTCCGAACAATATTCCCGGCCAAAAACATGAGCGTGGGATCCCTTTTTCCATTTAGAGGGACGTACATGCTTTTGGTGGTTTCCCGATGGTCACCCATGGAAAAGGCCTTTTGATCAACCCCCCCACGTTTTGTTGTGTTTTTTCACTGCGATGCCAATTGACTCCCGTTGAGGTGCTGCCTTTGGCTCACTTTCTGTCGCTTCTGTGCAAGCTTCCATTTGGTTAAGAATATGTTGCACTTTCCCCTCTTGGTGTTAAAGGGAATCAATCTATCACTGCAGGACATTGTTTTTGTATTGTTTCTAGGGGATGAAGAAGCAGATGGAGGCAAGTAGCATCGTCTAAATGAGCACGTGAACATAGAAGCACCCTGCGATGTGTTTCAAACCCGTGAAACCCGGTCATTCGGAAGCTAAGAAAAGATGTATGGGCTGATTCCCAGGCATCCAGTTCCTTAGGTTCTTCACACGGTTTTTTGGTGGGTTTCGTGGTTGGGTGTCCATCTCACCCTCCGTCACTTTCCGGTCAGATCTGAAAACGGCAAACCAACCCAGGGCCTTGGGAGCGACGAGCAGCGCGGCGTTTGACTTGAGAGGTCGGTGGTGAATGTGTACCTCCCCCAGATGGAGCTCCGTACTTCGGATTTGGAGTCCAAGGCGTGAGTGGAAAATCGGGAGGGGGGCCACAAAACTCCACCTCAGCCACAAGCAAAACCCGGGTAGATGAAGGTTAGTAACGGATACTTCCAACCATAAATAGCTGCGGATCTCCGACTTCTTAATTCTTGAAGCATGGTTCTGGGATTACGACCATTTTATTATCGGGTTTTGAGCCAGTGACTCGCCTTCACTAAAAAATTGGTGTCCTGGCCCTCACTCCCTCAGATGGGACTCGGACTTATGATTTTAGTCGAACCCCTCAAAAGATACATTTTGCCCGTTTGAAACCTGGCTTTTTCCACCAAAATCAAGGGAAACCACCATTAACAAGGCAATGTTCAGGTGTATAATGTAAGGATCCCTGTGGGAAACAACGAGTGTTTCGACTTTGTTCTGGGGCCATCCACTCTTTCGGGTGTGCGGCGTTCGGGTTTGATCGCCATTTGTGTCTCCATTTCATTGACTGGATATCTCTGGAATTGGGGGACCTGCGTAGGGGGGGGCCTTTAAAATGGGGCGTATCGGCCTGGTTTCCCAAAACAAATCCGCCATCCAACAAGGACGCACATCCATGTCAGGCTGTGCTCCCGGGCTCAGCTGGGCCCCTGATTCGCGGTTACGTTGGTTTGCCTTTTCAGCTTTTGTGGGTCTACCCTGGTTTTAGGGATTTCGGATCAGCTCTGATTTGGAATCCATCTTAAGCTTCAAGAGTTAGGGTTTGGTGCCATGCCGACTCTCCTTTTGGATCTGATTGAAAGGATAAACACCATGCAGGTTTCGCTGCAGGCATGCAAATGGTTGGGATGGCCATGAACGCTGTGTGATCCCAGAAACATCAAGAAACGCAAACTTGCAACACTGGCTGTTTGTGTGAGAAAACATTTTTTGAATTGCACTACTTTTGGTGGTTTGCCCTTATTCCCCTTGCAGCAGTTAGATGCAGTTAGGGCACCCTAAACCCACCCTTATCCCCCACCCTAGACCCACCCAGTAGTGGTAGAACACTTTGGGTACTTTTTTTGGCCACTCCACTCGTTCGGAAGTGAGAACTTGGGGCATTCAAGTTTGTCCACCCTCCCACGCCCTAGACTAACCCTAAACCCGCCCTAGACCCACCCCAGACCCATCCTAGACCCACCCTAAACCCACCCTAATAGTGGTAATTAAAGCAAAAGTTTGGGTCCTTTTCTTGTTGGCCCATCCACTCGTTCGGAGCGATTTTTTTCGGGCATTCCAGGGGTTGATTCCCCATTCTTTTCAGCTCTTTTCAAAAACCTCGCCATGTCCCCAGAGTTTTGGGTGGTTTTCTAGAAAGATCCGGATCCCTGGATTCAGAATGGGGAAGTTACCCCTAGAATTCTCGACAAACAGTGGTCACTGGATTCCCCCTCAAGAGTTGATCAACGTTACTCCTGGTTTCTCTGGAAACTGCCACTCGCAGCCCTAGACCCACCCTGGACCATCCAAGTTGTCCTCCAGGAGGCGGTGACCAAGGGAGGGGGCGACGGGTGGCTGGACGTGCTGCCGCTCACGCCCTGCCCGGCGCCGCTGGAGAAGAGCATCGTAGTGGACGCAACAACCTTGGCGCCTCAGCGATGATTTTGCTCGCATGGTTGTTGGGAAATAGTTGTTTTTTCATTTTTGCTTATTGTGGTTGAGCGGTTGAAATCCCCACTGAACTGCTAAGATTTAAGTTTTTGCTCCCCTTCCAAGGTCAACCAAGGTGAGAGACAAGTGGAGACTCCACCCAGATACTGGGGGGTTGGGGGGTGGGGGGCGTCGGGAGGGTTGGGGGGGTTTGGAGGGGTTGGGGTGGGTTGGGGTGGGTTGGGGTTGGGGGGGTTGGAGGGGTTGGGGGGGTTGGGGGGGTTGGGGGGAGACCCCTATCTCAGTTGTTCCAAGCCAACCTTTTGACCCTTTGGGCGTTTTGAACGGTTGTGTGGTTGAGGGGTTGGGGTAAAAAAACAGGTAGGGGACTTGTTCTGAGCCTATAGTCTCATGCAGCAAGTGGACCCACTTTACACTACTTGGTGGCTCTCCCTTGAGTTTAGTGCTGGCCCAAAAGGTAAATGTTTTTTTTCAGGCTGGTCACTGGCCAAGTGAGTAGTAGGCAACCAGGCATTGTCCTGTGGGCTTTTAAAGGGTGGTTCCCTTAGTCAACTACTATGACCCACTGGCACAGGGTTCCGGTTCCTTATCATAGGCGTCCTTTTTAAAGTTAATTGGGTTAGAAACAGATGATGGCTTCCACCTTGTTCCACTGGTGTGGATGGGTTTCATTCCATTTCCCAGGGTCATCTATTTGACCACACGGTCACTCATGTTCCTTATACTTCCCTTTTCAGTGGCTTACATGACTTGTCGGGCCCATTCCATTTGAGCTGTTTGGGGTGATGTCTAACGAGGAAATGTAGGGGACGCTCTACTCAGGGGTACGTGTCACAGCGGAGCCCCCGAAATGGTGGGTATATGTTTGGCCCAATTGAGTAGAATGGGGTTGCGGGGGCTGAAATCATCAATTCCTCGTATAATATTGTGCGCCATTGTTTACCGACTTGCGGTACAGTGTTTGATTTGGCCCTGCCGCTTTGTTGCTTCGCAGGAAGCCCAAGGGAACCCAGTTTGCGAGTGTAGTTTTGCTCAAGGGATATAGAATTAAGGTTGTCCACCTATGCAGCATCAACACGCCATGGTTTATTGAATGACGTTTTGTGAGCGTACCCCTGACGACTGCTTTTTGGACAGCATTTGGAGTTAAGGGAGGAGTTAGGGGAGGAAGCAATAGTTGGATAGTGCTAAAACGTTTTGGCTTGTGTGGCAAGTCTTGGTTGGAACCTCTGGTTTTGTTGTTCTTTTGTGTTTCCAAGTTGTTCAGTTTAAGGACACCTTGTTCCCTTGTTGTTGCTTGGGCTCCCTTCTATCACTGGTGACACCTAGCAGGGGCCCTTTTTTGTTTCACCAGCGCCAATGGGCAATGTGTGTTTTGTGGATGTGTCCCAACAGCGAGAAAAGGGCACGCTTCACAGGGTTAAGAAGAGATATGTGGACACTGAGAAACTTTCAGACTCACTGTGCCCCTGACAAAACAACGCACTGTCGCCTGGGCCGTGCACTGGAAACAAGAGCCAAGGGGAGCTATTCTCGCCAAGTGGTGTCTATGATTGACTAGGGGCCATTCAAGATCCACTAAGGAGGGGTACCCTTAAGGACCACTCATGGTCATAACTATCCACGGCTCCCCTTGGCCATTGGCTCTAAATCAGTGTTGCTGTGCCTTTTTGCGAGGGAACTCTTGTTTTGGTGGGTACTTGAAGGGAAACCAAAGGGACACCGGCAGAGACAACCCGACATCTTCTATTTGCTTAAGATAATTGCCTACTTTCCCTTGTTGGTTTTGAAGGGAATCTATCACTACTGGACACATGTTTATTTCTTCCAGGCAGCTTAAGCAAATTGAAGGACATTGAACCGACAAATTCGCGCGTGGTTTGTCAGGTGTCCAAGATGTTCTACACCTTTCAGCTGGAGACGGTCACCAACTACCGCATTCTCAACGCGCAGGCGAGGTCGAGGTGGTCTCGCCCGTCGGGCATCCGGCACCCTCAAGGTCCCGTTGCTCTTGGACCTTGCTAGGTCCCCCACGTGCCCGACCTCTCACCCAACTTTTCTGGTTGGGAGAGTTCCCCTACTAAAATAGACTACAGAGAAAAAGTGGGTACCCTTATTCTAACCTCTCCACTGGAGGACCTAGCTTGCCTTCACCCACCAGTGGATGATGGCAATTTGGATCCAGCACTCACAAAACAATTGCAAGCAGGGTGACTGTTGGTGGCAGGGTCCAAGCTTTCCCTGTAAGACCATTTTGGCCATGGCGGTATTATAGTTTTGTAGGCCAGAAACACAATCATGCATATTTATACTTATATATATGTATACACATATACATATATTCGTATATATGTTCATATATATATACACTATGGAATTATGGGTTTTCTGGGCCAGGTCTTTGGCCCTTGGGCTTTGGTCTCACTGAGGTCTCTTTGTCAGTCACTCTTTTCCTCTTTGAGAGAGGAAGAAAACAAGCATAATGTTTTGATTTGCAATTCCTTTTGGTAGCTTCCATTTCCATCCTGAATCCAGGGATCCGGATCCTTCTTTCTAGAGAGCCACCAGAACCCGGGAAACAGCTGATTTTCGAGAAGAACGATTGACAAGAATGGATCAACCCCACTGGTGCAATGGCCAGGTTCCTTGGGTCAGTTAAATCCCATGACTCTGAGGGCAACTTCCCCAGGCTGAATCCAGGGATCCGGATCTTTCTAGAAAACCACCAAGAACCCTGGGGAAATGGCTTCTAGAAAACTTCTGGAAACCCAGGGAAAACGGATCCGCTTTTTGAAAAGAAGGACGGTTGAAAAGAAGGGGGACCGAACCCCTAGAATGACAGAAGAATTGCACCGCGAATCGCCTTTTAGTACCGTCCAGATGAGGACGAAGTGAACACTGCTTACAAGGACTTACCAGCTTCGATTATCTAACACTGCAAACAAGTTACTGAACTTGCCACCTCTCATCAAATCGGTTAAACTGCACCCCTTTTGGGAAGGAAGCAAAATTGGGAGACAAAAGGACACACCCACTATTTTGCGGTCAGGCCCATCATGGTTGTCAGAAAGAGGCGCCATATGGGGCCCCTATCTTGAATGCTATTGGGTTGGATCTTTAGACTTTAACTTTTTTTGGGAAAAAACAGCCAAGCTATGTTTCAATTGCTTTTCTGAAAAAGCTGCAACTTTCGACCTGCGATGCCAGGCCTTCCCACAGAACCTAGACCTCACCGTGGAGTACCTGAGCCGACCGGTTGCAAGCAGATCTGTGCTACTCCCCCCCCCCCCCCACTTTTTCCAGGTGTCTTCCCTTGGCTTCCCTTGAAAACCGACCAAAAGGGAATTCATTTTTCCAGTTTGAGAGAGAGCCAAAACTAGCAGAACAGTTTCTAGAATGAAAATCGAGGTGTTGGCCGCGTTGGCCCCCTGTGGTTTTTTGAATCCCCGCTTCCCCCGCTTCGCAAAAAGTCTTTGTTGATCCCAAGCCAGAGAGTAGCCTCTTCCTGGATTCCAGGGAGGTTCGGGGCTCGTTTCAGGCTACCCTTTGGTGGCTTGGATGGATGGTCAGATGTGAACCGTTCTAGAGGGTAGATGGGAAACCACTCCCTTCCAAACCGCCAATCCAAACCAGAGGAAAGCTGAAAAGTTCTCGCGGCGGTTTTTCTTCGTTCTGAGTTTGTGCCTGCTTCTTGCCATGCCAGCCAGACGCTCAGTAGTTATTTCAGGCCTCAAAGAGCCACGTTTTGAGAACCCCACAGCCCTTGCATGCACTGAATCTGCAGGCAGCCCCGCGTGCCAAGCGGGGCGTGGTTAGTGGTTTGGATGTGTTGTCTGGTTTGTGGACAAGCTGTTCATTAGAATTCTTAGTCCGCACCACTTAAATGTTAGGATTTGGCTGGGTCTTTTGTTGATATGGGACTCTTTTTCGTGATGTGTTGAAGAGAAAGGGGATTCCATATCCTTTTCTGAGACAAACCCCTTCAAATCCTGGCCCAAGCAAGGTAGATTGCCCCTCGATTGAGTTGTAAGCCAACGACCCAACAATGCTTCGAGGAGATGCTTTGCGGATTCAACACCCCATTCTTGGGGGTCCTTCTGTGATACAAGAGAGTCCTCTCATTTTTGCTCTTTTTTTTGGGGGGGGGGGGAGAATTAGTCTGTGGGCGTCCGTTGTTGTTGTATCACAGACGTGGTCATTTCCCACAGCCCTGAAACCAATGCTTGAACATCTATTTGGGTTGAAGAAATGTGTTGGATCTTCAACCTTTTTCCTTTTTGGTTTCAAACTTGTATAGGTTTCCGCCCCAGAAAAAAGAAGAGGAAGAAGAGTTCCACTTCTTCGGGAATTTCTTCGCTGAAAAAGCCTGTCGTAAAACATGGATGGCAGTGAGGCCTCACCGCCCCGATCTCTTTGGGCTTCTCCTTGACCGTGCTGCCGGAAACGCCCATGCCGCCCCGCATGGCGGACGACCGGCTGCTCTACTTCACCACGGCGCCCTGGAAAGCCATCGATCGACCGTTTCGCGTGCAAGCGGTGCGAGGGGCGGCGGGAAGGAAGAGGATGGACATTTCAACCTTCGAGGGTACCAAATTCCTTCACTCTTGTGCTGGTGTTGTGTTTGGATTTCGCTGTTTGCTGGCACTTTTGTCAACCGGTGTTGGTTTTTGTTTGGTACGGCCGATGTTTTGTAGTGGGCTGCACAGAGCAGACAGTTATTGTTTGCTAACATACCAAGGGTTAGACAGTTATGCTTCCGTGTTTGGGTGATTTTGCAGCATTTTTTGGGCCCTGTTCGATTGCATTCCCTTTTTGAGGGTGAATTGGGATTTAAGATCTGCATGTTCTAGTGGTTGTTTTTCATTTTCTTTTTACCCATGTGGTGGATTCTTCTCATCCCGCCCGCTCGCATTTGGCAGATGATGTTGGGAAACATGGTTTGTGGGGGCTGTGTGGGGCTCTATGAGCCATCCCTTGTGAATCCTTTCAGGCGATCAATGGATTTATTCCTAGCACCCATTGTATACCCATGGCCCATAACCCATTCTGAAGCACTTCCGAAGCAGCAAGACGATAACCACCCATAAAAGCAAATCAAATGGATGTCTGGGCATGTTCTTAAAAGACGAACTTTGGGGGCTTGTTTGAACGCATCCAGCAACTGGTCAGCAGGGAATGAGGGAATGATCCCGAAAACCATCTCCGATGTGGTTTCCTTTCAGGGAATCCAACCAACACCGGCTCACTCAACCAACACCCTGCCCCTTCATTCAAATTCGTTGGGCCCTGTTGCCGACCGTTTTAGGACTTCACAGACATCGGGTACCACAAAGCTGGCAAGAAGCTGCCGAGCGAGGCTGTCAGCGAAGTTAGCGACTTCTCCACCCAGGGAGATCTTATTTTTTTGTGAATGGACGATGGGTTGAACCACCCTCGGATTTCGTCCATCCAAAGTATCAACCGATAAGCATACGAATGGTTACCAACAACTTACTAGCCTGGCCGGTGGTTTCCCTCGTGCGATGTTTCAGGGGGACATGTAGAGAGCCCTGAAATGGGATGAACACGACTCCGAAAGGGCTGAAGAGGTTCCGTCCATCGCGCGATGTTTGGGCAACGTGTGCATTGGTTAATATCAGTTTGGGAGGGCTGTCTGGGCCTGGGTAGATTTAAAGTATGGGAAGCCCCACATGCGTCGACCTTTGGATTTGGTCAGAAATTGAGGAACTGGGGTTACGCAGGTCTTTGTTTCCATCCAAGGGGCCCAAAACTGCGGACCACTTTTGTGAGCCCTACCCATATAAAGCATGGTCAATGGGAAGCTCAGTGGTCCATTGGTCCATGGGGGTGTGACTCAAGAGGCAGACCTGGGCCGGTGCACCGGGCCTCTGGTCGCGCACAAAAACCCTTAAGCCTTTGAACGTGGACAGGCAGCCTACAAGAAAAAACAAGTGAGCCAAGAAGATCCACAAAACCCGGGCGAGTTCCGGTCCATGGGCTTACCTTGCTCCTTTTTTGCGAACTTAGCATTGGATCCTCCGCATCTTGGTCTAGCACTTCGGCACCAGCAAGTGGGCCGTGTAGCACCCTCCAAGGTCCATTGGACCAGTGGCCACTTTGGATCCGGGCTGGCTGCAACCAGTACTCTAGGGATTGATTCCCCATTCTTTTCAGCCATCCCTCCTTTTAAAAACCTGCCTTTTCTCCAGGCTTTTTGGTGGTCAACGAGGAAAAAAAACAAAACGGTTCTGAGAAGTTCACACTGGGCGCTTGTGGGTTCAACATGCAGCCTTAGACCAATTCTTCAGACAGTAGGCATGGTTATATATATATGCTCACCCCCCCCCCCAGGGCCTACCTTTTCACTTGCACAGTCTAGAAAAACTGATAATTTCAACAGTAGGGGGTGAGCATATATATATATATGTATAAATATGTACATTTTTCTTTGATGTTAGACACAGTTTCCTTTATATATTACTCTGCTGCTAGAAGCTCAAACCAGGTCATTCAAAGTATCTCTTTTTTCTTGTAGCAATGATGTCAGAAGCCAGTGAAATCTCTCTGGAAACGGCCCTGAATGCCACCAACGCGCTCTTCCTCAAGAACTTGTCCAAGCCCAATGTCGTGGACTTGCCTCGTGGTCCTGTCTCGCCTACTGACCTTCCTCTTGATCATCCCAAGGACAAGAGCAAGGCAAAGCACTTCTTCGACTTTGTTGGCCCCAAAGCCTTCGATGCTACTTTGCAATGCAAATCCCAGATGCAATGTCAGAGGTCAGGGCTTGATTGGTCTGGACTTTTGCATTTTTTGCATTTTTTGAGCCTATGCAGCCTTGGATGTTTAAAACCTGCACAGGCTCAAAAAAATGCAAAAAATCAAAACCTGGAAGCTCCAAAACCTGCACAGGCTCAAAAAAATGCAAAAAATGCAAAAAGCCAGACCAATCAAGCCCTGACCTCTGACATTGCATCTGGGTTTTGCATTTGTTGCATTTCTTGAGCCTGTGCAGGTTTTGGAGCTTTCAGGTTTGGATTTTTTGCATTTTTTTGAGCCTGTGCAGGTTTTAAGCACCCAAGGCTCCAAAACCTGCACAGGCTCAAAAAAATGCAAAAAAATCCAAACCTGGACGCCTCAAAACCTGCACAGGCTCCAAAAAATGCACAAAATGCAAAAGTCCAGACCACTCAAGCCCTGACCTCTGACATTGCATCTGGGTTTTGCATTTTTTGCATTTTTTTGAGCCTGTGCAGGTTTTGGAGCTTCCAGGTTTGGATTTTTTGCATTTTTTTGAGCCTGTGCAGGTTTTAAACATCCAAGGCTGCATAGGCTCAAAAAATGCAAAAAATGCAAAAGTCCAGACCAATCAAGCCCTGACCTCTGACATTGCATCTGGGATTTGCATTTTTTGCATTTTTTTGAGCCTGTGCAGGTTTTAAACATCCAAGGCTCCAAAACCTGCACAGGCTCAAACAAAATGCAACAAATGCAAAAGTCCAGGCCAATCAAGCCCTGACCTCTGACATTGTATCTGGGTTTTGCATTTTTTGCATTTTTTTGAGTCTGTGCAGGTTTTGGAGCTTCCAGGTTTGGATTTTTTGCAATTTTTTGAGCCTGTGCAGGTTTTGAGGCTGAAACCATCAAAAAACGTAAGAAACAGGTGTTTTTTGCAGTTTCCTTCAAAATCACTGCAAATAACAGTGTTTTTAACACTGACAAAGTTGCATCTGAAAACGCTTTCCGTTTTCGTGTTTGTTGCTTTCTCGAATCCTGTTTTGCATCAAGTATAGAAAGCACATCTGAGACAATATCAAACAATGCACAAAAACACCGTAAATTACAGTGCTTTCTGCAAGGCATCTGCAAACCAAGTGGACACTGAACATCTGCAAATAAATCTCTTTCATGCAAAAAGTAGAAAGGTAGGCCCTGGGGGGGGGGTGACCATATATATATATATATATATGCTCACCCCCCCCTGCATGACCTACCTTTTAGCTAAAAAAAAGCAGGATCTCATCTATCATTTGCCCGGCACAGCACTTGGTGTTCATTGCACACGCGAGCAAAACACAAAGCTAATTATCTTCAATGCTTATTGATTGAAGCAATGGAAAACCTGTTCCATTATGTTATTCACCGCCACTCATAACATAATGATGTTCCATTTAATATTAATGACAAGTTTTTTTAAATATAATTTTCTATATTTCTTTAATATCAACTATGACAGATGTCCCAATAATAAAACCAATAAACATAACTGAATATGAATTCAAACAATCCACATATGAACACGTGCGAAAATTACCATTTAGAAGTATTATAGTTGCTTCATCGACGGGAGGCAAAACAGTTTTAGTCCAAAACCTTATCTTGAATGTTTATAGAAATTCATTTGCAGGAATATTTATATTTTCCCCCAGCGTTCATAATGACCCAACTTTTACAGAAGTTAAAAAATACATCAGGGATGAATTGCACATGGATGATGAAAAAGAACAAATTTATTTTGCTAATTATAATCCAAGTGATTTAGAAAATGTAATTGAAAGACAGAAGAAAATAATTAATTATATGAAGTCTAAAAAGATAAAGAAACTACATTCAATATTAATCGTTATAGATGACCACGCATTCAATATTCATCGTTGTAGATGACCACGCAGACAATCCTAAATTTGTTAGATATAGTAAATTATTACACGGACTTTTTACAAGAGGCAGGCACGATGCAGTAAGTGTAATTGGTTCAACACAAAATATAATGTTTTAGTGCCTATCATTCGTTTAAATGCCAGTTCATTAGGTTGAAAAATGCAAGTGAGTTAATGAGTTTTATTGAAGAAAATAGCGCCATTGTTGATAAACATCAATTATTAGATATGTATCATCAAGCCGTTAATGACACACCTTATAGTTTCTTCTACGTGAATATGAATGCTAAAGACATTAACAAACTGTTTCATATCAGATTTGAACAGGCATTTCAAATTACGAATGATGAATAAAGATATTATAATTTAATATAATATAGTAATATGCCAATGAACCTATGTAGATGTGGTGGATTTTATCGTAGAGGTAATTGTAATGTTCATACTAATTCTTGGATACATAAACTTTATAAAGTATTGAAAAGAAGGGCAACAGACGAGGAATTATTAAGATGTCAAAATAAATTTGTTGATGAAGAAGATTTAATAGATGATATAAGTAGTACTACTTCAACAACAATACCAGAGGAAAAAATGACAGATTATGATAGCAATCAATAATATTATTATATGTTAATATTATTAATTTAAATTAACGAAGCATTGCAAAATTGTAAGGCAGGAAGTTTATATATTAGTTTGTCAGATTTTTCTTTCTCTAGTTTCTCAATTCGTGTCACACATTCTTGAAGAGATTTAATAATTAAAGTGTCTGCTCGTGTTTTTTCATCTATACTTAAAATCTTAATGTCTTCCAAACTATTATTTTCATTATTTTTACTTTTACCAATACCCATTATATATGCCATTATTAAGATTTCAATTTTTCAAAATTATCTTTGTGGTTCTTCTTCTTCGTCTTCAGTTGGTGCTGGTATTTCTGTTGTGTTAGATGTCTGGCCCACGACAAAGTCTTGGATTCTTGGTTTTCTCGAGGTGTTCTTGGTTTTCCTTGTTTTACTTGGGAATTCTTGGTTTTTTGCTGGAAAAAAAAACCTAGTAAATCTTGGTTTTTTGCTGGAAATCCAAAAAAAACCTGGTAATTCTTGGTTTTTTGCTGGAAATCCAAGAATTCCCAAGTAAAATCAAGAAAACCAAGAAAACCTCGAGAAAACCAAGAATCCAAGAATCCAAGATTTTCATGTAGATGTCTGGCCCACGACAAAATCTTGGATTCTTGGTTTTCTCGAGGTTTTTTTGGTTTGCCTTGTTTTACTTGGGAATTCTTGGTTTTTTGCTGGAAATCCAAAAAAACCCTAGTAAATCTTGGTTTTTTGCTGGAAATCCAAAAAAAACCCTAGTAATTCTTGGTTTTTTGCTGGAAATCCAAACAAACCCTAGTAAATCTTGGTTTTTTGCTGGAAATCCAAAAAAACCCTAGTAACACCTAGTAATTCTTGGTTTTTTGCTGGAAATCCAAACAAACCCTAGTAAATCTTGGTTTTTTGCTGGAAATCCAAAAAAACCCTAGTAATTCTTGGTTTTTTGCTGGAAATCCAAGAATTCGCAAGTAAAACCAAGAAAACCAAGAAAACCTCGAGAAAACCAAGAATCCAAGATTTTGTAGTGGACCAAACATCTACCTGAAAATCTTGGATTCTTGGATTCTTGGTTTTCTCGAGGTGTTCTTGGTTTTATGTGAAAAATGCTAAAAACCCAAGGAATTCTGAAGGTTTTACTGCAAAACCATCAAAAACCCAGGGAATTCTTAGTTTTTGACTTAGGGATCTATCTGAAAAACATATCAGTTTTTACACTTGTTTTTTTGAATGCTTTCCTGTTTTTTTCTAAAAAAACATGGGTTTTTGCATATTTTTTGCTAAAACCATCAAAACACACTGGTTTTTCTTAATTTTTCAATGGTTGACTGTGTTGTTTCTTAATCAAAAACCATAAAAAACATGTGTTTTTTTCACTTTTTTCTTGTCTGCTAATGGTCCCCAACGACTTTTTGAAAGACAACGGTAGGTCATGCAGGGGGGGGTGACCATATATATATATATATAGATGTGTTGCGCATGAGTCCGGAGCACCCTCAAAGGCGGTCCCGGCAAAGGGGGGTGTTCCTTTGACTGGGTCCGGCTGAATCCGAAAAATCAACGTATATCCGAAACTCTAGGGGTAGCTTCCCCATTCTGAATCCAGGGATCCTTCTTTCTAGACCACCCAAAACCCTGGGGGAAAGGCGATCAGTTTTTGAAAAGAACGATGGCTGAAAAGAATGGGGAATCAACCCTTAGATTGGGCACTCTCTTGTTTGGTGGTTGACTTGGGACATCCCTCCAAAAAGCGGAAAATAGACTTATGGGCCCACGCTGAACGGCACCAGTCAAGAATGGCTGACCCGCGAAATCAAAAATCAGCCGAGTGGACTCAGACTTTCGCAGGCGGTGGATTCCTTGACCTCTGTGATTTGGCGCTGGGATTTGTCGAAGCTGCCCAACCGCACCATCAGGACCCAAAGTCTCGGCGGGGGCGGGGGGCTCGGGCATCGATCCGTCTCGGGGATTCGGGCCGGGAAAAGGGGGGGAGTCATGGGATTCAGCGGCAGCCTCTAGATTTGTTGGTCTCTTCCATTTGCTGCAACATGCTTTACTTGTGATTTCTCCCTGATGGTTTTGAAGAATCGATTTCATTGCAGGACATGTATGTTCTCATTTTTGCCTGGCGAAGAAGCAAATGGAGAAGCTTGTTTGGCGGTTCGCCCCACTTTTCTTTTGGGAGTAGAATCAGCCAACCAAAGGATGCTTGTTTTTCACAGAAACCACGCGTTTAAGAAGATGATCGAATTTCAGGAGGTCCATCAGGTGTCTCATGTTTGGGCTAAGATGCTCAGCACCTTTCAGGAGCCGCACCCCCCCCTCCCCAAAACCTTTACCTGTTGTCCCAAGAAAAGGGGGTTTGGCGGGTTTGGGGGGTTTGGGTTGTTTGGGGGCCAACGATGTGATTGGCTTGAACCTACGGCAGGATGTACGTCGACCCCACCGTGCCGAGCAGATGGCGGTTGTGGATCAAGGAGGGTGTCGAGGCAGCTTTCTCCGAAATTTTGTTCGCTTTCAACTTGCGGCCTTTTTCTTACTCCGCGACAGGCCGCGAGGGGCCTCAAAGGGTACCGCTCAAATGGAGGAATATTGTCGACCCCGGATCTCATTATTGCTTTTGGGACTTCACGCATTTTGGGAAGAAATCAGCTGAACAACAAATCTAGATGTTTTTTCCCGATCAATCCACTCAGGAAGTAAGACAAAGTCGACCCCGGATGATTCAACCTGGTGGACATTTTGGCGCGTGAGGTGTTTCCTCAAAAATGAAGGATGCCCTCTCAAATCGAACACGCGCCTATCCAGATTATTATTGATCCTGGGTTCCTGCAAGCATCTGGGGACTCCAAATTGGTCGGTGTTCTGTTGGCTTTTGGTGGTCCTTCAGCTGCCATCTAAAGGAATCCAAAATGCTCACCACAGCCGCAGATCCAGCCTTCATCAGGTCTGCAGGCTTCAAACACTTTGCACACGTCGTGCTTTATTCTTACGTCGCGTCGTTCATGTTTCGGTGTGAACGCGCTTCATTCCTTAGACTTCAGTTTGTGGTTCGTCAGGCTTTTGAGGACTCAACACAAATGCTATGTCAAATTGAGCAGCAAGTATCAGGGGGAGGTCATGAATAATTAGAGTCCGTATATGATTTGGACAGGAAGCCCAGACACAGAGTCTTTCTTTGCCCCTCTAGCAGACCCATTCTATCATAGTTATTGGGGGTGTGCTGGGGCAAGTGAAATTCTGAGATCGTTTCCTGCGCCAAGGGACCCACGCAAGGAGTTCATTCAACCAACCCAAACAGGGCAATATATATGTCGCCGGACAGAATGCGAGATTGGTTGAGTTGCCGGAGACAGGCCTCCTATCAAAGGGCAGGTTTCTAATTGCTTGTCTCAGGGCCCAGCATGCCACGAGCAAAGCCTGCGACAAAGAACAAATAGCCTTTGCTCAGACCTCTTTGCCGGATCTTAATCACAACTCACCTTGCTTCAAGAGGTTTTAGTTGCGTTTGCTACTTGTCTTTGCTTGTTTTTAGTTGTCTTTAGTCGCGTTGAGTTGCTTTAGTGCTTGGGTTTCCATTTCACGCACAAATTCCTCACTTTAAGCAGATCCGCCAAAAAAAAGTTGACAGCCAGCCCAGGTCCTTTTGCACCCGGGACTCCGTCCCAATTTGAGCCTTCCAGGCTTGGAATGCGGGCTTCGAACAGCTGCAGCCAGCTGCGTACGTGAAGGCGAAAGCGTCGAGCTTCGTTTCAAGCCATTGAATGCCTTCACCTTAGCCATGTTGGTGTGGGTGAGGGAAACCAAGCAGAGAAATCGCCAGTGGGATCAGTGTGCATCACAGGCCCATTGTCAAGGAAAGCTTTTGTAACAAGTCCTCTAACAACAACACACAGCGAAGCATGGTCAAGTCCTTGTCCTTTCTATGGGGCACCTTGTCATTGGGTGACACAGCCAATGTTGACATCAGGCGGTGTGGAACATTGATGTCAAAGTACCTCACTACGCGATTGCTTACATAATGGTTGATAAACCTCCTAATCCCAACTGGTGCCAAGTGGATTTCGTCCACCAGTATCAGGATAAATTAGAGGCAGTTTTCTTGAACAAAACATCTCAACCCGCCCCCCCTGTCCCCCACCCCCCGCTCTTTCCCGATATATATATATATATATATACCTAGGGCTTCAAGAACCTGTAAAAATGTCGTACCCTGACTAAAACATCGTGTTTTTGCTCGATTTTTTAAAAACATCGTGTTTTCAGGAAAAACATCGTGTTTTTGATAAAACCCCTAAAAAATTGGCTTCTGAGGCCAAACACTCATTTGGAGCAAAGGGTCAAAGGCAAGGGTCGGGAGTGGATTCACACAGGCATCACCCATTAAGATTTCAACTGAGGGCAACGCTCTATACTGAGTATGCTTCAAATTCTAAGGACCACATTGATGAGCCTGACAGCCAGGGTGTGCAGCTGGCTTCAGTCTTGAAGCACCTTTCACAGCAACAGGCACCTGAAGACTGGCGCCAGGTCATACCGAACCAGTTTGAAGGGGGTGCTGGAATCCGAAAGCTCCTTTTGGTGCAAAACGAGACCAGGTGACACCTTTTGAGATTGTTTTTATAAATTTTGAGTTTTTTTTAGAAAATGGGGCGGGATCCTGGCGGCTAACCGCAGAAACCCGTAGAAAACCCGTAGAAAACCCGTAGAAACCCGTAGAAGCCCCAACCGAAAACATCGTGTTTTTGGAAAACATCTTGTTTTCTAACCCGTAGCTAAACCGTGGAGAGCCCGTAGTAAAGCGTGGCAAACAGTGGAAATTCTATGGGTTTTTCGAGTTCAACCACGAATGCGCTAATTCGAGAATGTTGCTGGAAAACAACGAAGTCGTGAGCAAAAGCACGGTCTTTGCTCGAGCTTGCGCGCTGTTCGAAACCAGCAAGCCCTCATTATGGCATTGCTGCTTGACAAGTGTCATAAAACCGTGGTCCTTTTGACTATTTGGGTCCCCAGCCTCCTTCTTTCAGATTGGAGTTGCGAAAGACGAGTGGCGAATGCGAAGCTGATTTCGTTACAAGCGCAAAAGGGGAGGGCGATGGGAGATTCTGAGGTTGAGATGATGCTTTTGAGATCTTTTGAGAACGGATGACGAGTTGAAGGAATGTATGGGAAAATGCTTGAAATCGAAAAAGCGGTGTTTCCCGAAAACATCGTGTTTTCCCAAAAAACATCGTGTTTTTTGTAGGTATGAAATTTTCATTGGTTTTTGAGGCTCCTGGTATATATATATATATATTGGTTTAACAACAGAATAATGGGTGAGACATGGGACATCTTTATTGGTTTCAGGGATTCTTCGAAAAACTTCTCAACCCCCCTCCCCTCCCCCCCGAACCCCAACCCCCCCAACCAGATTTGTTGTCATGGTTTCTTGGTGGCTCCCAGCCATGCCCTCAGCCTTCCAGCCTTTTAGCGTTTAGTGGTAGGTTCCATTTAACCCACTAAAAAGTTAGTCAAACTTTTAGCGGGGGGATCTGGCCCGTGCCCCACAGAACTCGGATTTTTCCTTCGCGAGGCGGTGCTGCCGGAGGACGCGGACTGGCCCAGCGACTACGACCTGGCACTTCGGCGATTTCGGTCGTTTCGATCTCGGCTGTTCAAAGGGAATCCTTAATCCTTACCTTGGGTTGCGCAAGGAGCCGGTCCCCTTTGTAGTGGCTTCCCTATAGGGATTGTGGATTAGGATTCGCCAAGCCTCCATTATGAACAGCCCAGTCGGTTGGTGTTTGTAAGGTGTCTATGTTTCCCAGTGCCCTTCTCTTCCCTTTTTTGGTTGGGAGGGATCCCCTACTAAAGTAGACTACAGAAATGTTGGTACCCTTTTCTATGTTTCCAACCACCTAGAGTCTCCATGACCCTTATAAATCCTGGGTCATTTCCTACAATAATGGGGTCACGGACCTATTTTTAAATGGTCATGGAGACTCCAGGCACGGTCTTTTGATGGATTGTTGGGAAACATGTTACATTTTTGCTTATTGTCGTTTAATGGGAAATGCTTGGGAATGGCTAAGAACTCCTTTGACCTCAATACACTGGGCAGCTGAGTGATACCAAACAGAAACTAGGTCCCCCACTGCCCTTCTCTCCTTTTCCTTCTTGGTTGGGAGGGTTACAGAAAAAGAATCGAGTACCCTTATTCTAGCCTCTCTACTGGAGGACCTATAGTATCCAACCACGGCCTTCTTGTAGCCTAAGAAAATCGAAAGGAGGGGTTCTCGGCAAATACGGGGTTCGTTTGGCTGGTTTCGGGACGGATCGTAAAACAGGATCCACAAATCGCAACGTGTTAAAACCCTCTAGGCCCCGTGCCTAAATTGGGAAGCTGTTCTGAGGTCTGTGTTAGTGTTGCTTACCAAGTTCCATTGATCGCCATTTGGCTCAAGACACAATTGAGGTTCAAGATCTGATGCGTGGCTGCATTCATACGTGATCGGCATTGAGAGCGGAAAACACTTCGCTTGCGCTGCATTTGTCAGGACCACTGTTGTAACTATCATTCCTTCCCCCTTACAACGTTTACACGGGTTCGGCTATAACGGCATCGTCCGTATACACCTTTCTACGTGGTTGGTATTACAGCTGGAGGGTTCGGTGCATAGCGTCCCACGGGACGTCACCTTGCCGTCTCTTGACAGGTTATCAGCCGTATCTACAAGCTCTACACTGGACAGAGAGACAGCTGGTTTATTGCGGGTACAGGGACAATAAAGGAACGATAACCTACACAGTACAATGGCGTCTTCAGCGAGCCCAAGTACTGCAACTTTTGGGAACAGCAGCTCAGAGGGATCCAATGGATTGATGGCTCTTCCTGCGGTGATGGATATGATCGCAGATTCACAGGATGAACCTGGGAGCGGAGGTTCCGCGCTATTCAGCGACATATCCACTCCCACAAGATCATGGAAGCAGATCGATGTTCATCAGGAGTCGAAGCAAAGAGAATCTCCACCGAGAAGATCATCATCTTCGCCTGCGACACCACGGACGTCGCAGAAGGGCGTGAGATCGACATCGAAGGGTGGGAGGTCAAAGTCACCCACCAGTGCGGAGTTTCGCGCCGCGATTAAGGAAAAGAACAAGATGGAGGTGGAGATCGGGGAATATCAAAAGACACTTGATGAAATGTCGGCAGCAATGGCGAATCTTCATCAAGAAGACTATGGATGGTGGATCCAGGAGCTGGAAAGACGATGCGAGATTGCCAGCAAGCAGTCGGGACATCTAGTGAGTCACCACCAACACCACATGGCTGAGGCATGGCGCAAGTTTGAGGAGGAAGCCCAACAGATGCGCAAGGTGGAAATGAACGCATTTCAATACGGGGAAAAGAAAGACATGGAGTCGAATATTATAATGCAACAGATGAGACAAGCTGAAGGAACTATCATGGAGCAGAAGCGGGAAATTGCAGTGATGAAATCCTACATGGCAAGCGAGAAGTCGGCCGCGCAGGAGTCAGCTATACGTGCAAATCAGATACACCGTGAAGCTTCACAGCAGATATCAGTTTATCAGCAACAAATCAGAGGCATCGAATCGTCTACATCTATCGAGAAGTTCAACGAGGAGGAGATGGTCCAAAGTCTGAAGTCACAGTTGGAACACGCACTTGTCAAGCGCCCCGAGACGTACTCTATGGAGGACTCCAGGGAACAGCTGATGGCGAGACTGAATGATGTTACAGTATTTGCAGAACAAGAATCGAAGAGAGCAGATTGCTTGCTTCGCGAGAAGGAAGAGATCGTCAAACAGTATGAATCCGATGTGTCGATGAAGGACCAGATGATCGCTATCGAAGGTGGTCATCGTCAGGATGCGATCTTAGAGTTAGCCCAGGTCAAAGAAGCGAAACAAGAAGAACGGTGCACGATGGACGAGAAGTCGAAGGAGGCTGAGTACTGGAGATTGACAGCTAAGGGAGTGTACGATGAGTACCTTGAGGAGATGCATGAGCTTCAGGGACAACTGAAGGAAAGGGATGCGACGCTCAAGCAAGAAGAGAGTTTTGTTCGCCAACTCGATGCTGACAACGAGGAACTACGTGCACACAAGAAGCTGGAGACACAGGAAGCCTCCAGCAGCAAAGATGGACATCGTGAACGAGCAGTAGTGAAACGCGCTGAGGGAGGACCCCAAGCTAATTCAACTAGGGTAGACAAGAAGGTGGCTGGGTTAGTCCCGTCATCGTCTTCAAATCTGACCCCTAATTCGTCACTAATGCCGGGTTCGATTCTCTTTCCGTCTTTCGGTGATCCAATGATCGATGTACACCTATCCCAGATGCAAGGGGTTGTTGGGCATGTCCCACAATCCACTACTACGACTGGTGGTGGTGATGGAGGGGGAAACAACGGTACTACGCCCCCATTGGATTACGGTGGATTCTCGCCTAATGGAAATAGGCAGGGAGCAAATCGACGTCAGTTGAGCCTCACAGGTGGCGGAGGAGGACCTCCGGATGACCCACCCGACGATGAAGACGAGGACAACGACGACGAAGAGGATGAAGAAGACGAGGAAGAAGAAGAGGAAGAAGATGACAATCGGACACGGAGGAGACGAAGAAGATCGAGAGATGATCGAGAGATCAAGAACGATAGACCGAGGATCTCGAGGAAAGAGGCTGAGAGGGTATCTATTCCGGCTTGGCCAAAGATCCACCAACTTGATAACTGGAAGATGCAACTGCTGATGAATGTTCTGAGCGCATGTGCAGATCCAGATACCGACACATGGACGAAATGGTTGGAACAGGCTCTTGGGTTGAACCCAGACCTGAATATGCTTAGCGATTCAGGTGGCGACAGATTTGCTACGATAGATATTAAGATGGCCATGGGCATGCAGAACATGTTGAAACAAGCACCTGACGAAGCCAAGGACGTATACCTCGACGCTACGCGGCACTCGGAGCTACGACATCAACAAGGGGTGATCGTGAAGGGACGAGAGTTGGTGGCATTGGTTATGCAATCATTCAGAACATCCGATAGGACGGATCTTGTCTACCACATCGAGCATCTATTCAACCTTGACTTTCCTGGAGACAAGAACTTGGTTATGTTCAGGAACAAATGGTATGATTTGCTGCTGAAGATGAGGAGCGAGGACAGACCCAGTAAATTGGCTCTCAGAGATATCCTTTACAGGAAGATCAAGGGGAGCAAGAAGATGGAATTCGGCCTCAATGCCTACCATAGACTACCGGACAAGCACCCTCAGAAGACGTATGAATTCTTATTGGCGTTGATCGACCATCAGATCAAGGCGGATCGGGAGGCCCTGATGCTTGACATGAAGGAGAGATCGGTCAAGTCGATGATGAAGTCAGGCGGCAAAGATGCGGCTCCAGCCACTGGCAAACAGGAGAACCAGGGTGGCAAGGGCAGAAAGGGGAAATCCGGTGGACCTGATGCTGCTCCTGTACTCCCAAAAGCCAAAGCAAAGGGCCACGCTGGCAAGAACGGCAAGTCCGACGGTGCCAGCGACAGAGGCAAGAGTCCGGGCGGAGGCAAAGATAACCCCTGTTGGTATCACTTCAAATCGGCGAAGGGATGCGTGAAAGGAAATGAATGCACATTTTCCCACAGCAAGAAGACGGAGCACAAGCTGGAGAACATGCCCAAGGGGAAAGGAAAGGGTAAGTCCAAGTCCAGATCGTCGTCACCAAAGAGGGATGATGGAGCATGCTTCGCGTTTCAGAAGGGGAAGTGCGACAGGGGGAGCGCTTGCAAGTACAGGCACGAGCTCATCAAGAACAATTCAGCTCCGGCAACGTCAAACGACAAGGCGCAAGCCAAGTCGAAGGCTGCCGCCAAGGCCGCAGCACCAGCTATTGCAAGGAGGGCCGTCGCGATGCCTGCGATAGTCCTGAAGCAATCGGCTCCTGCGGGAAAGGTCAGCTTCAAGAAGGACGTTGACCAGGTCGAACCGGATGAAGCTGAGACTGTCTACCACGAGCATGATGATGACGCGATGAGCGAATCGTCGAGATGGTCTGGCGAGTCCGAGATCCCCGAGAAAATGGTATGGTTCAAAGAAGTACTCGACGTCGACGAGAATGGAGAGATCACCTACCTCGAAGACGAGAGAAGGCAATGGGAACGAAAAGGGGAATGGTACGGTTATGAGGACAATGAGAATGAGCCTTATCAATACGTATACGTTGACGAGAAGAAGTTCAAAAGCAGTGATCATCGAGAATTATCAGCCTATCAAGTCCAACGATCATTGATAAGGGCGAAAATACTGAGAGAGGTGGTGGATGATATATACAAGAAACACTACTTCCCGGTGACCAAGGAGAGCAGCATAATGTTCGAATACGATCAGAGCAAGGACGAAATCAGGGAATCGGCTGTCGACTGGAAGAAGCAGCACGGTTTGCCGAAGAACGTTTTCGCCATGTCAACGTGCATCAGCAAACGGGTGAAATGGTTGATGGACACCGGATGTGGTCATGATCTCATCGGACGAGCCAAGGCGAAGAGCCTGGGCGTCGACATCGTGAAAGATGATGACGAGATCGTGTTCCAGACCGCGAATGGTTCCACT